TATTTATTTAGGATTTGCACTTTCACATCCCGATTCCAATGCCTGATTATTAAAATTACTATAATTAAATGAAATATTCTTAATAATGAAATATGATGTGCTCTTTGGAAGAGTGTACTTCAAGCATCGTGATGATATTATATTGTCGTTCTGGCATTATATAATAATGAGTGGCATAACATGGCCTTAAAATGACAACTATGTCATTCATCACAATATATTTTGGTGAAATGTATTGTACAACAGACCTATTAAAAGTAGTTTTGTTCACTCAAAAATGCCTCTGTTTGTTTAAACTACTTATTTAAAATGAGCTGAAACAACACAATTCTAGAGTTTTGTGGGAGGACAACTTAATTGTTTCATGTTCCATCAACTTAAATTTGTAAAAACTAATGAGTTAACCTAATTCCCTTATGTTTCCCTGACGCAAATTGATTGTTCCACACCAGTGTTCCTCGGTCTCAGTGTAATTTATAGATCCACAGGGAAGGTGTTATTTCAGCAGTGGAGCAGGTGTTCACCTGTTCACAAGAGCCTTTCTGTAATGTGCTGTAAATCTGCTCCGCTAATCTATCCCAGTGAAGCAGTGTTTGGTTAAGCTTAACTTTAGACTCACGGGTTGAACGGATGATTGATTGAACATCTGAACGTCTGGACCACCCAAGAAGCTCCTCTTAAAAAGTCAACAGTTTGTCTGTGAAATCTTTCGTCTTATTTTTTCAGGAGATTCTTTAGCAGATTGGAGGATCAGTCTAATTGGGTGTTTGCTAACGTCAGAAAACAGAAATTATGTTATGAGATTACTAGGGCTGTAAAGATACACCAAACCCACGATTCTGTTCGTATCACAATTTTTGACCCACGATTCGGTTCGTATCACGTTTTTTTTTTTCGTGTGGTGTGGGAAAAAAGATTTTTAAAACTAAATTTATTAAATAACATTTGAAAACTCTTTATAAACTGAACATCAAAGAACAATATTAACTGTGCAAATTTTTAACAATATAAATAGCCATATATAAAATAAATAATTTTTTAAAAATATTTTGTTTTATTTACCATTTTTTTAAGATTTTTAACAAACACAGTACAATACTAATAATAATACAGATATAATAATAAATACAATACAAAATAATTGACATTAGCCCCATCCCACCCCCTCAAAAAAAAAAAAAAAAAAAACACAAAGGGAGGAATCGTCTCAGTTATCAAATATACATAAGTATACACATGACATATGTAGCATAAACAAATTTTTGAAAAAGATGACAGTATTCACATTTCTACAAAGTCAGTGTCATGAATATATGAGTTAGAGATGAAAATTTCCAAAGGTAAAATGCTAGATTCCCAAGAGTCTTAAAATATATAAAATAAATAAATAGCCAAAGCTATAACACTTCTGTTTTCTTTGTAACAAAATACTGTTGAAAAACCAAACAGAACTAAACTCCATTGTGGAGATGGTTCAAGCATGTTGAAAATTCTTTTTCAATCAAGTTCTTTTACATTAAAAAAGTAAATTAAATGGCTGCTGTTTCACACTGAGGTAACTAAGGCTAAATGCCTGTGCTGCAAACCACTAATCAAGTAAACATTAAACAAATAAACAACTTATTTCTCTAAAGAAAACCAAACTTGTTGGATTTAAGGGAGTTGAAAATTCTTCCGAAACACCATCATGTCAACATTGCAGTGAAAAAACGTGACAACTTTCCTTACTCTGCCGAGGATTCGGACATCTGGTGAACGCAACGCCCATCCCTCTCTGCACAGCCACATTAACAATGTGAGCAAAGCATCGTTCAACAGCATTGGCAATGTTTCTGCCGTTGTCAAGCGGGGTTACGTTGGTTTTGTTTTTGATATTCCTGACACATTCAGACGGTCCCTTACTAAGAGCTCTGCGCGAGTTCTCCCGGCTAAACGCATATTGTGAGGGCTTAAACGGAGCAGTGCTCGTAATGTCGAGCGTAAAAAAATGTTTCCTCACGTTCTTCTTCAACTAGCTCAACTTTTGCAGGCACGCGTGACGTTATTGGAAGTCACAGGGTGTGTCGCGATTCTCCCTTATCACACCGCGACACAGGATTGTAGATCAGAGTGTGGCGATTTCGGTTTCATATTGCGTATCGTTACAGCCCTAGAGATTACATAATATTGCTTTCTTTGCTCATTGTTTGGTAAAGCATTAACTGATGGAGCTCACGTTTACTAGTTATTTGACATGGAATTAATTTAATTTGATGCAGTATTAGGGTTGTGCCGATAGACTATGGCATCATCCATCGCCAATGGCCGACAAACTTTATGATGCTGAGCTTGCATCACGATCCATCGCCCCGCCCCGCATTTATATTGATATATAACTTGTTATTTGCATGTCACCTTAATAGCAATAAAGGTCTTTTCATGAGCTGTGGTAAATGTTACATATAGCTGCCGCTTAAATGAAGGATTATACAGCACCTCTCACTAGGGATGTAACGGTATTGTAAATACCGTCATACCGCAATATTAATTTTTTTCGATATTACCGTAGTCGCATGACTCGGTAAAGCTATAGGTCTTCTGAGAAAATTTGCTCAGGCGAATGAAGCGAACGGGAGGTACCGGAAACTACAATTGCCATCAGCCCAGGATTGGCCATAATCCCTTGCGGTCTGTTGTGTTTTGTGTTTTTTCTACTTCTCATTCATTTAACTGTTTATGGTTCATGAGCTTACTCAATGAGCATGAGCAAATAGGTTATGCTTTTATAAAAAAACACAATAAGGATGTACCTTTTTTTTGTCCTCTGGCCAAACCAAACTAGTTGTTTCCTTGCCACATTTTTTAAAATAAAGTGTCAAAACAAGCAAAATACTTCTGTATACATACACTTTTTATTCGACAAAACAGCTGACATTTAAAAATATATATATTTATTCTCATGCATCTAAAACTATGCACAATGGTCTGTTCTGGCTCAAGATCTCAGATCACCAGTTAACCATGCATACAACAACATATTAAAGCAATATTATTGTGAAGGACAATTATTAAACTATATTAACAAAAGTTACAGCAAGCAAACGAAAGCGGGTAAAAAACATTCTGTGCGTGATGATGAAAGGATGATGCCGCACACACGGTTAATGTTAGGCCAATTAATAATCTGTTCAAAGAATGAATAAAGCGAAAGCGACAACTGCTGCTGCTGCTGCTGCTTACAAATAATCTCAAACCCTTGAAGGACTGTGGGTGCATGAGCATCGCACTAATTTCGTTTGCAGGCACGGTTGCTTCCAGTGAGAAAACGGCACAGGAGTTTTTAAACATTCGTGCACATCAAATCATCTGTGCTCGAGACACTAAAGCCCTCGTCAGCGAGTGAGGAAAGCCTCTCTCACCGTGCGTGTGATCCTCTCATTCGTTATTCACCTGCTTTCCTTTGCCCACGCGAAAAGCTGTTTTTGTCAGCCGTACTGCTTCTCCATTCTAAGATCACATTTGTACGCATGTAGATAAACGGTCATAAACTAATCTGTCTAATCTGTGGTGATGACGAGCCAGCACTGGCAATTTAAAAATGAGTTTCAGCCAGCCAAAGTGGCTAGTGGCTGTCTAAAGCCTGATTTATACTTCTGCGTCAAACACCGGCGTATGCTACGGCGCTGATGCATAGCCCTTCGCCGTCGCCGTCACTGACGTGCACCTCTCAAAAAATGTAACTACACGTCGCAACACCGCGTAGCGCAAGCTCTGTTATTGGTCGGCTTGGTAGTGCTGACGAGTCTGGGCGGGACCGAGAGCCGCGTGAATGGCGCGAACCCAATTTAGCAATTGTTTACAAGTGTGGAGTACCGTGAAGGAGCTCCGGGTGGAAAGTGTTTTGTGTTTACCTCATAGTTAAAGTTGTTGCACGTCCGCCGGTTGCTGCCACAAAATAAGCGAGTTTGAGCCACTTGTACATCCCGGAAGTGTTCAGGAAAAGCAAAACAGCAGAGAAGAAACTCGACACAGAGGAACATTTACACCTCACTGCCAACTAGCGTTTCGGAAGTGTTAATGCAGACCAACAGAGACAGCGTGCAGAAGTATAAATGCACAGCCATGCACGTTGCCTGCGCCGTGAGTTACGCCGGTCACTTGACGCAGAAGTATAAACCAGGCTTAACCCGCCACAACCGAAATCTACCCGCATTTGGCAGGTTGGCGGGTGTTAATGTATTCAATTCAGCTTTATTTGTATAGCGCTTTCACAATGTAGATTGTGTCAAAGCAGCTTCACATAAATGGTCATAGTAACTGGATCAGGGTAGTTCAGTTTTTAGTGTTTAAGTTCAGTTCAGTTTAGCTCAGTTCAGTGTGGTTTGAAGTCATTATTGAGAGTCCAAACACTGAAGAGCAAATTCATCGATGCATAGCTTTACAGATCCTGAACCATGCAAACCAGTGGCGACAGCGGAGAGGGGAAAAAAAACTTCACCAATAGGAGAGTGAAGAAAAAAAACCTTGAGAGAACCAGACTCAGTTCGGCACGACCATTTTAATTTCTCCGCTGGCCAAACGTCTTGTGCAGAGCTGCAGTCTCAGTAATGTTAATGTAAAGCCCTGATTATTTTCATGGATGTGTGTGCATTCATATATACATAATAAATACACGTGTTTACATTACATTAATACAAAGTTTGATTTTGTACCCAATAGTTGCGATTAATCATTACACGGCACTTAAACTTGTATGATTTTATTTATTTTAGCTAATTGTAAAACTAAAAGTTTTGCTTTCTTGAATTGTAATTTGAAGAGCATTTCAAAGCTCACATAAGAGATTACTAGTGAGATGACTAGTGACTTGCATTGACTGTTTGCATATGCAGATGTATCTGTGCCATCTATTGATAGCTACAACATGATAACCAGGAGACAGACTGTCTGTTTAACCTGTGAAAGATTAGTTGATGAAAAATCAGCCTCTTCAATCAGTGAATGTGTGTGTCTCTCTGCAGGTCCGCGGCTCGCTCTGGCCAGACTGTTGACAGGTAAGAAGAAATGTTTGACATTCCTTAAAGGTATAGTATGTAGGATTGACACTAGTGCTTGAGCTAGGGGCTCTGCCCCATCTCCCAACGACTTGACTCACAAGCATCTTGACAACAAAAATAGCAGCCAAACATGCCTGAAAATCGAGCCTTAAGGTGCATGTCAAATCAAGGTATTTTTTCATCTTCGTTTGAGGTCAAATAGAGGTTTAAAAAGGTTGAGTGACGATATACCCTTTCCACAATGTCCAATAACTTGGTGCTGCAGTAGGTGGGGTTATAAATGCGTCACACTGCTAGTGTAGTCATGATACTTGAATACTGTACCAATCGATACTGTAATTTTAAAAGCATCCATTTACCGCTAACATTTGAGCATGTTCTTAAACAGCGCTGATACGCCTTTGCGTTCACATGCTCAACAGAAATAACTGTGATTGGCCATGAAGGTCATCAGTTCACCGAACTCACCGCTGTTTACTGAGTGACACAGGGACACTGGAGTGTTTTAAGGTCACATCGATCAGCTAGTTTGTCTATAAGCTGACATACAAGCGATCTGCAACATATCGCAGCTTTAAAACACTTAATAACAATGTTTAGAACTTTATCAGACGTTGACTGATGTGGTTGAGTTTATCGTCTGGACTCTTTGAAAATTCTTCTACGAGTGATAGCTCTGTGTTGCTAACCTGGTCTCTGTTCTTTGTACCTCGCTTAAATAATCTAAGATGATTTGGCAGATCCTGGATCTGTTCATTTTGATAACTGATCTCTGGCTAATTTGGTTCTTCAAACAAGTTTGTGAATCAGATTAAAATGTCTGGATGAACTGATCTGAGATCGATGCGCGTGTTGTGAAGGACAGATCTATAGATCCTCAATCATGATCAGCAATGCAACAGTTGGCTGACGGCACAGCAGCGTAATGACATCATATGATTAATATTCAATGATCTATGTGAGCAAAATTACATCAAATTAGCAGTAAACGGTTTGATAAATATGACACGCAATATTTACACTTTATTATGTCAAGAGTATTCGTCGTGTATTTCAATGCATATCATCGTATTTAGTTCTACATTTAGAGAAGATTTTCTTTATTATAGTAGTCTAGGCCTACTCAAGTGTTTTAATAAGGAATAACTGTATAAATTAATTTTGCATCAAAAAAAGCATTTTGATATCGGTAAAGGTGTCTGCAACTTTTGCGAAGCAACAAATCACCGGCACGTCAAAACACGTGCATGACTGCATAAATTATTATCCTATTTTTTTTTTTTTTTTTGAGTATTGTGCATGTACACGTTTAAATCTAAAAAAGTTCATATCAATACATTTTCAGTCTTTGCGCTTTTATTTTGGAGTTCAGATTGCATAAGTTTTATTAATATATATATTTTTTAGGTTTATATATATATATATATATATATATATAATTAAAATTAGACACATTTACTTTTTTCCCAAGTGTATATAACTACTGTAAGATATTATCAGCCTTTGCTACACACTTTCAGTATTATTTTTGCTCGAACTGACCGATCTAATCCTGTTTATATGAAATGAACCTGCTCCCTCGCAGGTTTGAGCTATCAGAACTGTTGTTATGACAACAACCCTCAGATGAGTTTTGAAGAACGAAACGATCCTGGATCGTGTCAAATTGTCAATAACCAAATCCAGCTAACTGAGTAATCAACGTATGATGAACAGACCCCTGGTGTTGTCATGCTGGATGTTTTTATTCCTGTCTGACTACGAACTGCGAGATATGAAGTCAATCTAAGTAGGTGAAGTCCCAAGACACACCCACTGATTGCATAATGTTCAGGGACCAATGGCGGTTCAGAGATGTTTTAGACAAAAACAACTCCCCCAGTTTGCTGTTTGGTCAACTGCTCTGAACTGCCAAAACGGACTTAAAACAGAACTTTTTTGGCTAGATTTGGTTCAAAATTAGGTAATTTCAGTTCTTTTTTTGGTTTAGTTTAAAGTAGTAGTTTAGTTTAGTTTAAACCACATGCTGTGGATTTTTATAGTGCTGAATCTGCATCTCATTTCAGAGGCTGCTTCTGTCTTTTGGAGGTTACATATTCAGCCACGGCCACATTGAGACAGCCTTCATGTTTGTCACCAACACTCGAAAATTTTATTTATCTTTATTTACTTGTTCAAACTAAATTAAAATGAGCAAAAACAACATAACTCTGGAGATTTCAATGTGACAACTTAATTTTTTATGTATAATCCACATCAATTTGTTTAAAGTGTTAAGTCAACTTATTGTGTGGAACCCTGCATTTTTTTTACAGTGAAGGCATCCCGGGATGCTGAAATATAACTGAGTAAACTGGCAGTGGGCTGGCAGAGATCAAAACAAAGTCAGACATTCAGACACAGAATGCACATTTTCAAAGCACATTAACTGACTTTAGCATTGTTTTTCAGATAAACAAGTATGCGCACTTAGCATAATTCTTAAACATTTATGGTATTTATGGTATTTTTATGATTTATAATGATCAAAAACATAGATACAGCCCCTTTATGTTCATCCTCAGAGTGTTACTTTGACCCTGTTTGGGTCTATTTTGCCTGACATTGGCACTGTCCTTGATGCAGTAAGATGACTCTTCGTCTAAATTTGGCTTTGCAGACTAAACTAGAGACTTTTTGCTGTTGCATAATAAAGCATTTGTGATCACACATAAAAGAGTCTGTCATGCAGGTCTTTCTCTTACCAGATTAGCTGCGCTCGGTTTATCGTCTGACCGCTGTGTGATTTCAGATCTGCGCTGCAACCCTGGCCAGTTTGCCTGCCGGAGTGGAAAATTGCAGTGTATCCCGTCAACCTGGCAGTGCGATGGCTGGACGGCCTGCGAGGACAAGAGCGATGAGATAGACTGCCCTAGTAAGTGCACACTAGCACACACAGCCACATTCTTGTGCTATTAAGTGGACTTGCGATGCTATTTTGAAAGGTCATGGCTTGTGTTAAACTAAGGAATAAATGATGACTGAACAATCATTGAGTTATTAGTAAATAATGCAGCCACAATGCAAAGCAGTATGCATTATTTTCTTATAATTCAATGCACTGGAGTCTTTTATTCCATTTAGACTCATCAGACATTTTTCAGGTTTTCATCCTGTGTGTAGCACTAGTTTCTTCCACATCTCCTCCAAAGCCTTAAGTTGTGTTTTGATGTGATGTTTGACTGTTTATGGGCTTTAAAATGGCTGAAATTATTTAGCGTAGTGATATGGAGCTGTAAAATGCGCTCAAAATCTGCTGGAACTACTTTAGCAGTGCGCTTTACTGAAAATAACTGCACACCTTAGAATGCCCATCAGCCAATCAGAATCAAGCATTTAACAGACCTTCAAACAAGCATTCAGTGCTGTACACAGTGTTAGACGTAATTATTTACAAAGAAGCTAGTTCCTGCACTCTTCAGGTTTTAGGCAATTTAAATAGGTTTTTTGTTGTTTTGTTTTACATTTTTGAGCGTGATGCTAATGGTCTAATCCGATTTAATTGTCTATGCTAAGCTAAGCTAAGGATACTCCTGCTATTTTCGGAAATTGGCTAAATGGATTAAAAAATTGTAAAATTCAATTGTTATCTAGATCTCAGTTGTTCTCAATCTATCTTGTTTTTTTATTTAATTATCTCAGAAAAATATCTTTTGTCTTTTATTGTTCATAACAATAAATAATTTTATTTAAAATTGGTAATAAAATAGTGTAATAGTGTCGCATTTAGAGGTTTTGTTGTGATTGTTTATTGATTTAATCTTCCCATGAGTTGATCTAATGATCACTCTTTATATCTCTTTTCTGATTTATGATGTTCTTCGGACTGATTTTTTAGTCTTGTTTAATAGTTCAGAGAGATAAAATAAGTATTGTTATCGCAGCACTCAACAACAATATTGCATATTTTCCCAGTATCGTGCAGCACTTGTACAGATCGGATCAGCAAATCAAACAGTTACTAAACATTTTATATAATACTTTTTTTTTTTTGCTGTAGTCTAGGTCTGTAAGGGTTAATTGTGGGTTTTTAAATTTTTGGATTGCCCCATTTATTTAGACGGGTCTTGGAGGAACTTTGCAAATATGGCTGTTGAGTGAACAGACTTTCCTTATGATCTGACTATTTTTTTGCACAGCTCATGATTCAGACTTCTTCAGTTTAGTGTTGTTGTTTCTCGGCTCGGGGGGTTGTTTGGCTTGTGTCTGAAACTGGAGCTCGTCGTCTGATTCTGCTCAGGATAACGAGACTTACTGAGCGGATTTACAGAGCATGTGATCTGCAGCTCCTTCAAGCTAATCAGACTCGAGAGTACAGGAGAAAACAACTCTTGAGCAGCAAACACTGCCTCATTCATTTTAAATGGTTTATTAGTCTTTTGTGTGACAAGTTGAATATGGATAAAGAAGTAAAAAGTAATATATTGTGCATTATTAATTGTATAATATATTGTGCACTATTAATCCTGTGAACCCCAATTCCCTCATCCATATTAGGTCAATCAAACAAAGAAAAATAATACATAAAAACTAAAACTGCTGATATGACATTAAAACAAAAATAAATAAATGCTAAATGCTGCTGATATGGCATTAAAACATAAATAATTAACTGCCAAACATTGTCAATGTGTCATTAAAACCTAAATAAATAAACATGATATGTAACAAATACTGCGAATATGGCAGTAATGCATAAGTAAATATATAAACGAATAAACAATTAAATAAATAAATGCATACCAAATGCTGCTGATATGGAATTAAAACATAAATAAATAAATACCAAATGCTGCTGACATGGCATCAAGGAAAAAATAAATAAATAAACTGATACCAAACACTGCTGATATGGCATTAAGACATGAATAAATGCTGCTGAAATGGCATAAATAAATAAATACATAAATAAATAAATAATGGAATTAAGACATAAATAAATAACTGAATAAATAAATGGTGTTAGGACATAAATAAATAATGGAATTAATACCTTAATAAATAACTTAACAAATAAATAAATAAATGTTGCTAAAATGGTGTTAAGACGTAAATAAATAATGGAATTAAGACATTAACAAATAACTTAATAAATAAATAAATGCTGCTGAAATGGCGTTAGGACATAAATAAATAATAGAATTAAGACATTTATAAATAACTCCATAAATAAATAAATGCTGCTGAAATGGCATTAGGACATAAATAAATAATACAAAATTAAGACATTAATAAATAACCCCATAAATAAATAAATGCTGCTAAAATGGCAATAGGACATAAATAAATAAATAAATAAATAATGGAATTAAGACATAAATAAATAAACAAATAAATAAATGCTAAAACAGCATTTAGAAATAAATAAATGTACAAATGCTGCTGAAATTGCTTTAAGACATAAATAAATAAATAAATAAATAAATACCAAGTACTACTGGTATAGAATGAAAACAAACATAAATAAATACCAAATGCTGCTTAAAGGGCAATTAAACATACATAAATAAATTAATTAATTAATTAATTTGATTTAATATCAATCACTGCTGATATGGCATTAAGACAAATAACTAAATGCTGCTGAAATTACATAAATTAATACTAAATGCTGCTAAAATGGCGTAAATAAATAAATAAATAAATAAATAAAAAACTAACACTGCTGAAATGGCATTAATGCAATAATAAATAAATGAAATGCAACAGATGTACTTAAAGTATATATCAGAAAAGAAAAAAGAAAATAAAGACTGTCACATTTAGAGGTTTTGTTGTGATTGTTTATTGATTTAACCTTCCTGAGTTTATCAGAGGATTGCGCTTCATATCTCTTCCCTGATTTATGATGTTCTTCGGACTGTTTTTCAGTCTTGAACAGTTCAGAGAGCTAAAATAAGGCTCCCTTTTCTTTTACATTGTTCTACAGGGTTGAGTATGTGTGTGTGTGTAAATGTATATTTCACAATATAATGATTACATTTTTTTAGGGATGTAGAATTAAATGTTGCAATGATTTTACTGGACTTACGGGGGTTGGACAATGAAACTGAAACACTGGCTGATTTGGTGTTGGAGGTTTCATGGCTAAATGTGAGCAGCCTGGTGGTCAATCTTCATTGATTGCACATTCCACCAGTAAGAGCAGACTGTGAAGGTTTAATCAGCAGAGTTATAGCACAGTTTTGCTTCAAATATTACAATCCACACAGCATTATGTGTGACATGTCAGAGTTTAAAAGAAGACAAATTGTTGGTGCTTGTCTCACTGGTGCCTCTGTGACCAAGACAGCAAGTCTTTGTAATGAATCACATCCAACAGGAATAACTGTGGATGCAAGGGGAAGCTGCTTAACCGCCCATTGACACGGGATGTCAACTTCACCGCTTCCCATTCACTTTGAATGCATCCATGGATGCTGATGTTGGCCTATTTCAGCTCTACATGACTCGTCTGGTGTAGATCAGTGTACTTTTAGGACGCTCTTACAAATCTCCCTTTCTCCCTCTGAGGAAGGATGTTCTTAGAAACGGTGTTTAGCTTCAGCAGACCTGCTGCCTCTGCATTTCCCATCCGTTTGCTCAGGATTAAAGATTTAGCCTCATTATTTCTTTGCAAGCGTGTTGCTTAAAATAAGCACAGATCTGACATCGCTCATCAAATGTGTATGAAGAACTTAAACAGCAAATATGGATCATCTTCACACATGATTTATCCTCTTCAGCCTGATATTTTGGTCATGTAGGAGAGGATGTTGTGATGATCTGTCATTTCTGTGTGTGGCAGCTATAAAAGAGGAACGCTATCGATACAGCAATGGCCTGGAGCCGGTCGAGGACGTCATGGGGGTCGCTCAGCCCGTGCGCTTCAACAGTAAGAGCACTGCTTTGATTTGGATTGTTTTGTGGTTTGGTTTGTGTCTTGTTGTCTTGTTTAGTGTTTTGATTTGGTTTTTAGTTTTGTCATATTTCATTTTTGGTTTTTATGCTTTTGTTTTTGTTTTGTTGTTGTGTTTTTGTTTAATTTTTTGTTTTGCTTGTTTGGGTTTTTTGTTTTATTGTTTTTGGTTTTATGGTACGGTTTTTGTTTTTCTTTTGTTTGTTGGTTTTGTTGTGTTTTTGTTTTATTTTTTAGTTTAGTTTTGCTTTGTTTGGGTTTTTTCTTTTATTATGTTTTTAGTTTTCTTTTGTTTGTTGGTTTTGTTTTGTTTTTGTTTTGTTTTTTTATAGTTATTTGTTTTGTTTTTTATGTTTTTGGTTTCCTTTGTTTGTTTGTTTTGTTCATTTTGGGTTCCTTTATGTTATATTTTTCAGTTTTGTTATGGTGTTTTGTTTTATGTTTTGTTTTTGTTTTGTTACGGTTTTGGGTTTTCTTTGTTATTTTTATTTTTATTTATTTTTTTATGACTTTTTGTTTTGTTATTTTAATTTTTAAAGTTCTGTTTTTCTTTGATTTGTTTCCGTTTTATGTTACGGTTTTCAGTTTTCTTTTGTTTGTTGTTTTTTCTTTATGGTTATTTGTTTTATTATGTTTTTGGCTTCCTTTGTTATGTTTTTTATTTTTTTTATGGGTTTTGGTTTTGTTTAGATTTTCGTATTTTTTGTTTTTTGTGTTATGTTTTTTGGTTGTACTTGTGTTATTTATATTTTTGTTTTTGCATGGTTTTTGTTGTGTTTCATGTTTTGGTTTTGTTATGTTATGGTTTTTGGTTTTTTTATAATTTTTTTTGTTTTATGTTATGTTTATTTTAGTTTTGGTAAGGTTTTTGTTTTGTTATTTTATGTTATTGTTTTGTTTTTGTGTAGTTTTTCTAAAGTTCTTTACAGTGTTATTTAAAACAAGATTTGGTTTGTTTTAATGCCTGCAATAAATGTTATAGAACAACATTTCAGCAGTGGGAAAATAAAATAAAATATTCTGTAAAGTATATAGAAAAGTTTCTAATAGTATGTCATAGTTGTACTATTTTTACCACATGCATGAAATAAATCCAGCTTCAGTGAGTGTTAAATTTATCTTTTTTTTACTAATCTCCTATATATATATATATATATATATATATAGCTTTGGAAAAAATTAAGACCCTTATTGATTCAAACAAACCATTGTGTTGTAGGAACCCCAACACCATATTAGGACACTTTTTAAAATACCAAATGACCTGCTTTTTAATGCTGGGTTCACACAAAATCCAAATTTAGGTATTCTTGTGCAAAAATAGGCATTTCCTTAAACGCTTCTTAACTTTTGTGGTACAAATTTAACATTTATTTTATTAATTCTTGTGCATTTGTCTTAATAGTATTTATTGTCTATTATTAGTTTAAAAAAATTTATTAATACTATTTAATTATAAATTTTGTCATTTTAGTAGTGCAAGTTCAACTTTTCTCAATGAATTTATTTGCTTCTGACTGTTTTAATAGCTTCTGTAGTCTCTTAATTATTAGTTTTAGCAATTTGAGGAGTACAAGTTATTTTATTAGTATCTATGTGCACTTACACATTTTTATACACTCATCTCAAGCGTATTTGGTTTTTACTAACTCGCATGCTTCTGCCAGTTTTTGTTAGTACAATTCAGGGGTCACCAATCCTGGTCCTGGAGGGCCGGTGTCCCTACAGGGTTTTACTCCAACTTGCCTCAACACACCTGCCTGGATGTTTCAAGTATACCAAGTAAGTCCTTGATTAGCTTGTTCAGGTGTGTTTGATTAGGGTTGGAGCTAAAATCTGCAGGACACCGGCCCTCCAGGAACAAGTTTGGTGACCCCTGGTTTAATTAAACCTTTAAATTTTCTACTGGAGTGAAACATAAAATTCAACTTGAGCCAAAAAATTCATGTGAGATGAAAACACATGCGTGAGTAATTCAGAGCGAGTGTGTTTTTGGATTCAGTGTGAATCTCTGCATATAAGACACGTACTCTTCCTCCAAACAGAGAAGTGTCCGAGCGGCTGGCACCACTACGAGAAAACGGCCAGCTGTTATAAAGTCTACCTGCGCAGTGAGAACTACTGGCAGGCGGTGGAAACCTGTCAGAAAGTCAACGGCTCGCTCGCAACCTTCGGCACCAATGAGGAGCTGCAGTTCATCCTCAAGATCGAGGTGGACTTTGACGAGAACGTGTGCGAACGCAAGGACCAGTGCAAGTGAGTGTGAACGAGAGGAAAACTAAGCTGTTGTTGAATCCTGATGCTGAACGCTGTGTTTGTCCTGCAGGTTCTGGGTTGGATATCAGTACGTGATCACTAACCAAAACCACACGCTCGAGGGACGCTGGGAAGTGGCTTATAAAGGTCGGTTTAATGTTTGCTGCTTTTGTCAAAGCATGTTGGTATTTGAAAGAATCAAATCAAACACGTCTGTAAATCATGCGTATATTTAGTGTACATTTATCTCTCGTATATATTTATGGTGTGTCTGCACCTCTCAGGGTCCATGCAGGTGTTTCTGCCTCCGGAGGGTCTTGAAGCCCTCGGTGAAGCCAATCCCACCCAGGACAATGTTTTCTGTGCTCAGCTGCAGCGTTTCCAGATCAAGAGCATGAATGAGCGCGGTCTGCACAGCTGGCATGCAGAAAACTGCTATAAGAAATTCCCTTTCCTCTGCAAGAGACGTATGTAAACACACACACACACACAGGCACAAACTGAATCAGGTTGAATGGCTTGTAATGCCTCTTTTCCACTGAGTGGTATGGTTCAGTTCGGTTCAGTACAGGTCAACATTATCAGGTTTGTAGCTCCTCTGTGAAATGGTACCCTGGGCCCGGTTTTTCAAAAGGTTTAATCCGGATAAAATTGATCCGGATTTAGTAATCCTGTTTTTGCGATCCGTGATCACGTAATCCAGTTTACTTTTTGAGCCAGTTTTTCAAAGCAACATCGGATTGGATCAATCTGATCCGGAAAGGAACTTTTCAGGATCACTAAATCTGGATTACCAGTGCTCAAACAGGATAGGACATCACAATGTAGAACTATAGATATGTAAAGAGCGACAAGTAGAATAGCCAGGGTCAGGGTCAATATAACTTTATTTTTAATTATTAAAATAATAATAATAAATAATAAAAACAAGAAAAAGCCCACCCCACCCTGTTCCAGCAGTTCGCTTATCTGAGACCTACAACTCTGTACATTGAGGATTTTTATGATAAGTTTTAAATATAGATTTAAATAAAAAAAAGACTTTATGTCAAAAACTCTTAATTATTTCAGACTTCCTCATCTGATGTGGAGAGAGCTGCTTGTCTGAGCGTAGCCTTTAGGAGGCGGATCTCAAGTCTGGTCTTGGTTTGCTGCAGTTTGGTTAGAGTCAGTTGTTTCTCTGCAGATGAAGCTGTGCTTCTGCCATTTCAGTGTCTTTTTGCAATTGTTGAAAGTGATTTCAAAAATCAGTGATTGCCATTCTTTGCATTGGTTATTCTGTAATCATTGCATGCATCACTAATAAATATTCTAAAAAGAAAAATATTTTCCATTGTGATGAATATATATATATCAATTAGTGACAGAATAAAATGTATTGTTTTTGGTCAGTTTTGACAGCTGTTTGGGGGATTATTTTATGAGGCCAAGCTATTTCTACCTTGCTGCAGGCCTATACTGAAAGGCTGAATACGTTAAAGCCTATAATCACTATAGCCTGACGGATGAACAAATAAAATTAAAACCTTATGAATAAATAGCGTATCTCGTAAGATACTGCATGATCCAAAAATAGTATTATTTAATAAATCTTTTAAGTTTTCATTACATTTTGGGCATGAAATTCACGCTAAATCCACCCTTCTGATGGGATCAGTTTAATCCAGTTTTTTGGATCAAAGTGATCCAGATCCTACAAAAAAGGTCTGAAAAACCCAAACTAAAGGTTTGATCTGGATCAAAACCAAGACTGGATTACGTGACCTAATCCGATTATGCAATCCATTTTCTTTTGGAAAAACCCATTTTCAAGATTTGATCCAATCCCTTATCCAAAATCCTAGTGGATTACTTTTGAAAACCCGGGCCCAGGTGTACGACAGAAAGTTGTTGTTGACGTCAATCTCGCTAAAAGATATGTAAAAGTAAAGCTGTACGGGTCGTCCACATATCATATTGCGGATGAAGCCCCGCCTTCTAGTACAGGAGCCAATCAGTGATCGCTATAGAAAGACAATTCTCCGGGGAATGGGCTCGGACCAGACTTGAGTTTCTGCAGATTTTCTGTGATACGAACGTTTAGAAATCAAACTAAAGAGACAGCTGTTGTTTAATTTTGTTAACGGTTATTCAAAATATGAAATGTAATCGTAAGTTTGCCAAGTAGTTTTAGAGAATTTGAGAACTTGCCTTAAAGCAGGGGTCACCAATCTCGGTCCTGGGGGGCCGGTGTCCCGGCAGGGTTTAGCTCCAACTTGCCTCAACACATGCCTGGATGCCTGGATGTTTCAAGTATACCTAGTAAGAGCTTGATTAGCTTGTTCAGGTGTGTTTGATTAGAGTTGGAGCTAAAATCTGTGGTGCACCGGCCCTCCGGGAACAAGTTTGGTGACCCCTGCCTTAAAGGGAATTTGGCTTTATACACACAAATACTTACACTCACTGGCCACTTTATTAGGTACACCTTACTAGTAAAAGGTTGGACCCCCTTTTGCATTCAGAACTGCCTTAGTCTTTCATGTCATAGATTTAACAAGGTGCTGGAAATATTCCTCAGATTTTGGTCCATATTGACATGATAGCATCACACAGTTGCTGCAGATTTGCACATCCATAATGCGGATCTTCCATTACACCACATCCCAAAGATGCTCAATTGGATTGAGATCTGGTGACTGTGGAGGCCATTTGAGTACAGTGAACTCATTGTCATGTTCCATTGTCTGAGATGATTCACGCTTTGACATGGTGCATTATCCAAACGTCACAGTAGAAATGGAGACTCATCAGAGCAGGCAGCGTTTCTCCAATCTTCTATTGTCCAGTTTTGGTGAGCCTGTGTGAATTGTAGCCTCAGTTTCCTGTTCTTAGCTGACAGGAGTGGCTTAGGTGTACCTAATAAAGTGGCCAGTTATTATGTATAAATGGTAATTACTAACCTTTCTACGAACAGGATTTGATCATTGCTATAGAACAGTGACGTCTGCAATTATATAAAATCAATAAAACATATATGAACACACGGACCCTTACAGTCTCCAAGATGTTACCAATGACAGAAAAATTACACACAGTGTGCATTATGTATTAAAACGGTGTCTTGTCTTGGCTGTGTATTTAAAATGTGTGTGTTTATTCTCCTGGTTTGTTGCACAAGCTAGTGACATTTCTGTGTGAACCAATAGCTTTGAGCCTCGCGTCTAGCTCCACCTCATTTGGTGCCATTCTGTTGTTCTAGTACACTGTAAAACCCCAAAAAATTAAAGTAACTCAAACTAGTTGAGGAAACTGATTGCAACAAACCATTTAAGTTCAAAAACTAATCATATTGAGTACTGTGAACTTTTCCATTTGAGTAAACAAAGCAATCTGAGCACAGTAAAACCGATAAATGAAGAGAAATCAAACAAACTGAGAACTGTAAACCCAATAAGTTAAGGCAACTCAAACCATTTGAGGATACTGATTTCTACAAAACTTTTGAGTTAAACTGATCTATATGAGTACTGTGAACTTACTCCATTTAAGTTGAAGTAATGAGGTATTTAATTAACTCATTACCTTCAACACTGAGTTCAAAACTCTTTTCAAACAAGTAGAATTGACTTTCAGTAAATTTTGAGTTAACTACACCTATTTCATTTGATAAAGTAGACTGTTGGATTTACAGCGTACCCTTTAGAAAGGGTACCAATAACTGGTTTGGTACGGTTTGCTTTTTGTTATCTTTTAACAGTGTAAACAGACAAAAAAATGTAGTGAACTGTACTGTATCATACCGCTCAGTGGAAACAGGCTTTAAATGAGAGTCAGAAGTGAATGATGGCATCAGTATCACTCTCTGCTGTTCTCTCGCTCTCCTACAGGACAGACATGTGTGGACATCAAGGATAACGTGGTGAACGAGGGCTATTATTTCACACCTAAAGGCGATGATCCGTGTCTGAGCTGCACGTGTCACGACGGAGAGCCGGAGATGTGTGTTGCAGCTCTGTGTGAGCGTCCGCAGGGCTGTCAGCACTTCCGCAAAGACCCCAAAGAGTGCTGCAAATTCACCTGTCTGGACCCCGGTGCGTTTAGCAGCTCGTCCTATCGCTGTTTTACTCAGTGCTAGTTGAGGAATAAAAGCTTTAAAATCAATATAGGACTTTAAAGTACACATAAAATCTAAACTAACCATATTGATTTTGTTAGCTCTCACTGCTAGTTTTGTGGTGAACAATTCATCTGTGCAGGTCATTAAGAAACAAGAATAGTTTGCCCTTTTAATCGATAAGGGAAATCTGAAAATGCACTTGCATTCAATTCTCAGATTAGGTCTGTTTGAGGTATTGGGCGTGGCTAACATACTTAACCACTCCCCTCAATCTGTCAGTTTTGACAACAAACAGAAATGGTGAGGAGGAGGAGTCTGTTAGGCTGTATTACTCTCCCCAAACCCTTTTGCCCATCCTTCTGAATGAAACACCTACTTTACTACATCCAATCAGCTCGCAGTAAAAACAACAAGCCACGCCTACTGCATGTCTCATTTAGTATTCTGTTTCTGTAGGAACTGTCACAATATGGGAAAAAGAAATAGTTGCAGCTTCCATTCATGTGGACTTGTTTACCACATTGGATGCCTGTTTTTGTGAGCTGAAGTTCTCATGTCTCACCACTAGGTGGAGCTGCTCTGCTTTTTCCGGTTGTAAATCTAAAATCTGCTGGAATGTTTAAAAAGGAAAAAATACTCTGAAAAAATTTGTAAAGCTATTAGCTGTCAACATTAGAATTAATTGGGGAAAAAAGGCTGGTGTCATTTAAGGTTACCAATTCTTTTTTTTTCAGTCTACTATTCTGTTATTTTCTTTTTATTGTTTAGTCTTTTAAATTTATTTAAGTTATGTTTTTGTTTTGTTTTAAATAGTTTATTTTTACATGTATTATTTTAATATCATCTAAATGAAAATGTTACAAATTAATTTTAAATTTTTTTATAGTTGTTAAATTTATTTGAACACAAAGTTGGAATATAAATAAAACGTAATCAATAATTAAAATAGAAGTATTGATAATAATTTAAAATATATATTTTAATATTAATTTTGTTATTTCCTACAATGTTTTGCATATATATATATATATATATATATATATATATATATATATATATATATATATATATATATATATATATATATATTATTATTATTATTTTTTTTGTTGTTGTTGTTGTTATTATTATTTGATTTATTCACAGTGCTCAGCATAATTGAGTACAGCCCATTATGAATATTTTTCTACATTTCTCAGTGAATATAGGCAATATATTTGCAAGCATTTAAACAAAACAGATTTATTAAACAGATATATTTATTAAAATAATATTTTAGTCACTAAACATAGAAATGAAAAGATAATACAATTAAATTCAAGCAAAATATTGCAAAAACAAATTACAACTTACTAAATTTGTGGTTAATATTTTCTATAGCATATACATTTGGCTGTACTAGTTTTTGGACCGTTATGGTAAGTTATTTTCTTAGATAAGCTCCAGATTTGGCTTCAGTACAGACTAATCTAATGTATATGCACAAAAATAATATTGTAGAGCTTCCTATTAAAATATAAATTTGAAAGAGAGATTTGTATACATGCTGAGCACTGTATATTTAGCTTCACTACCAGTTTGTGTTTAAACCTTAGTTTCGGATAGTTAGGAAGACTTGTCAAATATGCAGTTAATCATTTTAAAGTTAAGGTTTTTACCATGACATTTTAAATAAAGTTATTTATTTTTAAGTTTATGATTTATAATTTACTTTTTCAGTTAAGTAATTCCTTCTAGCATTTTCTTTTCCATATTTAATAAATTAACTTGTTTCAGTTAGTTAGCAGGACAGAGTGTCAAATAGTTGAAGTTGTTTTGAATAAACATTATACTCACAAAAAAAGCTTGCAAAATGTGTTAGGCACAGATTTATTTATCTTACTGAGACGAAGTATCTTTCAGTTTATAGAGTGTGTGCATGAACACTTGAAGTCAGAATTATTCGCCCTCCTGTTTTTTTCACAGAAATTCATCCGCAGTATTTCCTATAATATTTTTTCTTCTGGAGAAAGTCTTCTTTGTTTTATTTTGACTAGAAGAAAAGCAGTTTTTAATTCTTTTAAACCCATTTTAAGGTCAATATTATTAACCCTATTTGCAATATTTGTTTCGATTGTCTACAAAACCAACCACTGTTATACAATGACTTGCATAATTACCCTAATTAACTTTAAGTTAAGCCTTTAAATCTCATTTTAAGCTGAATACTAGTATCCTGAAAAATATCTAGTCAAATAAAACTATTATGTGCAGAAATGTGTTGAAGAAAATCTTCTCTCCTTTAAACAGAATTGGGCAAAAACATACAGGGGGGGGGGGGGTTCATATTTCTACCTTCAGCTGTAGTGTGTAGTGTATATTATGCAGTGAACAGTGGCTAGAGACCTGTTTCTGGTGTGTTTTCAGACGGCAGCAGTCTGTTTGACTCGATGGCCAGCGGGATGCGTCTGATCGTCAGCTGTATCTCCTCTTTCCTCATCCTGTCTCTGCTGCTCTTTATGGTGCACAGACTGAGACAGCGGCGGCGCGAGCGCATCGAGACCCTCATCGGAGGAAACCGTAAGCAAACCTGCGTCAATCACTAATATAAATAATGCACATCCGAGGCCAGGATGTTCAGACATTTGTCAGGTTTTTGTGCTCAAACTGCTCCTCTGTGTAGCACTAGTTTCTCACACATCTCATCTAAAGCCTTCAGTTGATGTGTTTTTTGACTGTTTATATGTTTTAAAATGACTGAAATCATTCAGCGCAGTGATATGGAGCTGGATAATACGCTCAAAACCTGCTGGAACTACTTTAGCTGTTGGTTTATTTGAGAGTCACAGCACACCTCAATTACAATCAAGCATTCAACAGACCTATAGTATAGGTAAGGAATAATAAATGACATGACATTGAATTATTAATAAATAATGCACACTACCTCTACACGTATGTGGCGGTGACATCCCCTAATAAAATATCAAAACTATAAAATGAAGGAGATGCTGTTGACTGTACATTTGTTGCAGTTAATTCAGGTTCCAGACTAGCTTGAGCTTGTCAGACATACCTATTTTCCCAGAATAGCTCTTAGGCTGCGCTTGTTTCTCGAGCTGAGTGTTGGTTTTCTGGTGTTGTCAATGGTAGTGCCATGTTTTTTGAGCACTTGTAGTGTAGCAAGGAAGGACAGTAGAAAAGGAAAAACTTTCAAATTAAATTTCAGTTTCACAGAGTTGTTTTCATCAGTTAATTAGGAATCAAACAGAAAACTTAAGCAAGTCTTGACATTAATATCCACCAAAGTCCATCATGACAAACTACATTTGCATTGTGGCTAAATCAGGCATGTGATCAGCTGAGGACAAGAAAGAAGGAAGACGACACCCCGCCACTTCTTCAAAAAATAATAATAATAATAAATTTTATATATATATATATATATATATATATATATATATATATATATATATATATATATATATATATATATATATATATATATACATATATATATATATATATATATATGTGTGTGTGTGTGTGTGTGTGTGTGTGTGTGTGTGTGTGTATATATATATATATATATATATATATATATATATGTATACGATTGGTGACTAATTTCATTGGCTGACGCTGATATGGCGATTGTGTCAGCCCCAACTTCAGACACGCCCTCTGTCAAACGTTGACGCTGAAGCCCCAGGTGGATCGGTGTTAGGTTCACAGAATATAACTTTCCCTGTAATTTAGTCGACTTTGTATTCTACATGATGAATAAAGTACTAGTCAGTAAACAATTCAAACTGTAAAAATTTTAAGTCCAGTTGAATTAAGTGGCCTAACATACTTAACATTTCACCCTGTAAAAAAATGATCATACATCGTTAGAAAGAGTTTATCACTTTCACTTTCCTTCGGCTTAGTCCCTGTTTTTAACAGCATAGTTTTAATTATTTATAAAACATATTTTAGTAAATTTGTAATATCATCTAAACTTATATGACACTTTCAGGTATTAAATTTGAGGTGCCCGGCTGTAGCACTGAACTAATGAAGACATCATCAGGACAGAAGACTTGCAGAGAATAATAAGAAATGTGCATCCTGGCTGGATTTATAATGTACATAGAGCACACATGGTCGTGATGCAAATGTGAGTGTGGAAAAAGTGCACAGCCGCACACGCATCCAAATCGATTTCATAATCTTGTATTTTGTCAGCGGCTTAGGCTGCTTTCACACCTGTCTCGTTTGCCCAGTTAGCGCGGTTCGTTTGGCATATGTAAAACCACCAATTGCTCTTGGATCGGCGTCTAAACAATCGCTCTGAGATGGCTTGAATGAGGTGGTCTTGGCTCGATTAAAATAAACTCTGGAGCGGATCGATTATAGTGAGAAAGGAAACGATCCGAGCCCGGTTATATCACAGTGTTTTATGGATATGTAATAGGCATACGGCTATATGACGAGAAATTTTTGAGTAGGGCGGAAGGTCATTCCAGACATCCCAAGTCTCCCTGAAGTTTCGGTAGTCTCACAGAGACTCCAGGATGCCCGCAAACGAGTGATGATCTCCTGGTAATCACGCGTCTCCCTTCTGGTCCTCAAATACGTCGCGCACCCTTCTCATCCCTTCCCACCGCATCCCTCCTCGCTCTTCAGACACGTCGTGCACACCCTGTCAAACACCACCAAACCACCACCCCTCCTGACAGCTGAGCGGGACTCTGCAAAATAAACCGTGAAACTCTGACCAGTGTGAGGAGAGTTTACTCGCAGGTGACTTGTTTTAGCTCTTTTAGTCCGTTTAGAAACTTTGCTGTGTAAAAGCGAACCGCACCAAGAGCAAAGAGCAACAATGTAACAATGTTAATCCCCGTTTCAGAACAACTGAATCGATTCACAGGTGTGAAAGCAGCCTTAGTCACATTATAGGACTATATCATTATGTTACATGCACAGTAGCCTAGGTAGGTCTACAATTACATTCTTGGAAGACGTCCAGAATGAAGCAGGTTGTCTGCTTTGATGACAATGGAGACACCCCCCACCCTACAGCAGAATCACATCCCTGCTAAATACAATATAGTCTTTCCCTAACTTTGTAGCCTGTAATGACAAGGAGCAATAGTTGAAATGAAATGTAGCCTCTGACGTTTTAAAATGAAAATGCTCCTTCATCCATGCTAACATTTTCACTGCAAAGTGTGTATGGCAGGTGTACCTGTAACAAAACTAATCTGTGTTTTTTTATTTATTTATTTAATTAATTTTCTTCAATAATTCAATTGTACCATCAGTTTACAAATCATTTATTTTATCATTATAATAAAATAATCATACATTTACTTTGCGTCTCACCACAAATGCACTGTTCAGCCTCCTCCAAGAATGCCAAATGTTTTCCCCACCTCTGATAAACCTCCAATTTAACAAGTCATATGTTTTTCATATGCTAAAACTAACATCACTGATGTGTAAATCGATCACAGCAGGTTCAACTCCCTCTTCAGATCCTGTAAGCAGACCTGTGTTAAAGCACGTGTGTAAATGATGTGTTTCTGACCCGCAGTGCATCATTTTAATCTGGGTCGGCGGGTGCCCGGCTTCGACTACAGACCGGATGCATTCGGGACGGGCCTGACGCCTCTGCATCTCTCGGATGATGGAGAAGGAGGAGCGTTTCACTTCCAAGAGCCTCCACCACCATACGCTGCTTACAAATACCCAGACATCCACCACCCCGACGACCCACCGCCTCCATACGAGGCCTCCATCAACCCCGACAGCATCCTCTACATGGATCTCGGTACGCCTCTACAGACATGCCAATTCATCGTTTCCCAGCCTGTTTTTAATGAATTTTGAAGGGTCACGAAACACCAGAGCACATGTTTTGAGCTGTTGACAGTCGTATATGTGTCTCACACTGCTAAAAACACTATTAGGACACCTATATTTCACTAAAAAGTGTAAATTGGTTGTTTTTGCGTTATTTCGAGTAAATTCATACTTCCGGTTTGAAACAAATTTTCTAAGCTGCGTCACGGCCATGAGATCTAAGCGTGTGTTCCAGCATTTAGACTGGACGTCTGTACCTGAGAGTACCGTATTAAGTCTCCGAGTGTGATGCATTAATGCATGAGTAAGGCTTGGTTCAAACCAATTGGCAAGCTCTATTGTGCAACTTCATTAATATTCATGAATGTTAGAGTGTTCAGACAGCAGAGAGATGCCTTGTTGTGTTGGCAAAACAAGCGTGAAGTGTTGCTATTACAATTTGCTGCAGTGAAGGTTTTGTTTTCATTTTCTCTCTATGAGAGCTCAGCTGGAGTCACGTGTGGATTACAGTGCAAGTGATGCACGAAAACAGTACGTGTCTAAGGAACATTGTTTACCCAAGAGCTTTTGTCATCTGCAAATGGTGAGATCTGGATTTGCTGCTCGTCTCCTCTTAATAAAGACTCTAGTGGGTGTTGATTGTATTGTCTTTGCAGATTTGGTAAGTGAGTGATCAGTGCTCTTTGTTTATACAGATGGCAAAGTTAGTTTGTATCGAGCTAACTATTACACCGATTGTAAACATGTTAGCACCGCAACCAAACTATTACTGTCGTGTAGGATTTTTCACCGCATTTTGTGACCAGAATAACACACACAGCTTTCTGACGCTACCTGCCGTGTGCATCAAAGTTTCCGGGAAATGCTGAGGTTTTTTTCTCTCATTCGCCGTGCGGTATCAAACATTGCATGAAAAATACACGCTTAGAGCAGTTCCTCGAATCAAATATCTTGTTTGTCACGTGGGGAACGAATGAATTCCCTGAATGAAAGAGCCAAACTGCAGCTAAAGTCCACCATTAAATAATTTAGCAAATAATTTGATTACTGATGTCAAATTAAACAGTCACTTTCTCCCCTGTGTGTGTGTGTGTGTGTGTGTGTGTGTGTGTGTGTGTGTGTGTGTGTGTGTGTGTGTGTGCGCGTGTGTGTGTGCGTGTGTGCGTGTGTGTGTGTGCGTGTGCGTGTGTGTGTGTGTGTGTGTGTGTGTGTGTTTTGACTCTGAAACTCAGCGCGTGCCCAAATCGACACTCCCATATCATCTCTTTCCTCCTCCGACACTCCCCCTTAAACAGAGCTGGACACGCCCACTTTCCTGACTTTTTCCAAAGCAGAGGTGTGAAAACATCCTGCTGAAACAAGGGGCTTTCATGGCCCTTTAAATGCACAGTATGTAATTTCCACCACTAGAGGGTGCAGATTCACAATATACCGGACGTAAGAGGATTTATGCACTGAGACTTTTCATTTGTAATTAGCCCACTCAGGTGCTTTTGGTTAACTGTCATATCATTATAAACTCACCTTGTTTAAGATCTAGTTTCTTTAAAATCAACGATCAGGTTGGATGGTAAACGTTTGTGAAAAGCCATTTTAAGGTCTCTCTCCAGATGCTCAATTGGGTTTAAGTCAGGGCTCTGACTGGGCCATTCAAGAACAATCCACGGAATTGTTGTGAAGCCACTCCTTATTCTGCCAGGTCAGATGGTAACCATATGTAGACAGCCGTTTTTAGGTCTCTCCAGAGATGCTCATTTGGGTTTAAGTCAGGGCTCTGGCTGGGCCAATCCAGAACAATCCACTGACGTGTTGTGGAGCCACTCTTTGTTCTGTCAGGTTGGATGGTAAATGTTTGTGGAGAGCCATTTTTCGGTCTCTCCAGAGATGTTCAATTGAGTTTAAGTCGGGGCTCTGGCTGGGCCGTTCAAGAACAGTCACAAAGTTGTTGTGAAGCCACTCCTTTGTTATTTTTGCTGTGTGCTTAGCCTGCAATCATGAAAATTTGATATTGAACGCTTTTAGATTTTAAATATTGACCTTGTAATACCCTGTAAGCACTATAAAATCAATAGCATGTTCTCTGGTCTGCGCAGGTCGGGCAGGTGTTCCTCTGTCGTCCGGCCACATGGGCAGCACCTCAGACTCTCTGCAGAGAGATTTCCCTGCGCCGCCGCTGGCCGTCCCGCCACCACTGGAGGAGCGCGAGGACTCCATCGACAGCAGCACAATGCTCGTCTCTCCGGACACACCGAGCGGCTCCGAGGCCAGCATCACGCAGAGCTCCAGCGCGGACGCACCCTCGCTCAGCACCGTGGTCTAAACCCAAAAACCAGACTTCACAACAGAAGACGTGCACTGGGGGTTTTTACTCCGCGCTTTTTCACGTGTAAATACTTCCGTCGGCCATTGGTTAAGTCTTGAGGACGAGTGATTTTGCACTGGCAAAGACGTTTGTTTGGTAAGGAAACGAGTGGACGTCCCGTCACTGGAGTCCTGTCCTGCACACTGACTCTTTCTGGCACAAAACAAGCAATGTTATTTTTTCTTGAGCGCTCCAAACAGACCCTTCAGATGATGCGTTTTTATGAAGGATCTGTTTGGGTTTGAGCAAAACTGTGTTCTTAATCTGCAATTCTGTGACGTCTGCTTGACTTCTTGTTTATTTTGTCTGTCAGGTCAGTAACACAAACTCTAAAGCTCTAAAAAAATATATAATAATATTTTACATTGAGGTACGAGTCGGTTTTGGGATACTTTTAAACACCCTGCTGTGACGTGATGATGATGATGTTTGTGGAGAAGATTTCCATCAATACACTATTCGTTTTGTTAACTTTTCATTTCATCGATCAGTTTGGCATCTAAAAGGATGAATCTTATTAAAAAGGCCAAGAAATTACTCATTTCCACCCAAAGCAGAAACAAAATGTGATGTTACCTACTCAAACAAGCCCAAATTATGTTAACTTGGCTTTAATGGGCCACATATTCTAAAGGAAGTCCCTTTTTCTTTACAGTAATGCTGGAAAAAATGTTACAAATGTGGATAATTTCACTAAAAATGAATATTCTGTCATTATTTACTCATCCAACTCGTTTCAAACCTGTTTGAGTTTCATTCTCCTGTTTAACACAAAAGAAAAAAAAGGAATGTTGGGAAAAAGGGGGCCCAGCTGGCATTTCTGTGTGGAGTTTGCATGTTCTCCTTGTGTTGGTGTGGGTTTCCTCCGGGTTTCCCCCACAGTCCAAACACATTCGCTATAGGGGAATTGAGTTAACAAAATTTGCCGTAGTGTGTGTGAATGAGAGTGAATAGATGTTTCCCAGTACTGGGTTGCAGCTGGAAGGGCATCCGCTGTGTAAAACATATTCTGGAATAGTTGACATTTCATTCTGCTTTGGCGACCTCTGAAATAGAGACTAAGCTGAAGGAAAATGACTGAATGGATGAATATTGGGGGAGATCAGCCATTGACTTTCACAGTATTTGTTTTGTTCTTACTATGGATGTCAGTGGCTGCTCTTATTTATCTTTTGTGTTCTTTACAGAAGAAAGAAATTCTTATACATTTAGAACCACATGAGTAAATATGAGGAAATTTCATTTTTGGGGGTTGAGCTGTCTCTTAAAACATAATTTTATGGCTTTGTGTATTACTGTAGTGAGTTACTTTTTTCATTCTTGTGATGATAATGGGGTTTTTTAATGGCACATGGTGTTTCAAAGAAACTACATTTTCATTACCGTAATGCTAAAAGAAACAATGTTATATGTTATTATACTGTACTTTTGCAGTCATATGCAGTCATTTGTGCTGCTGATATTTGTTATTAACAATGTTTTTTTTTTGTTTTGTTTTTTAAAGCGAGGTTGATTTTCAATACGTTTAATAAATGTCAGGATTTATTTTATTTTTAAGCATTACAGTAATGACTGATTGATTTCATTCTGGTAGTGTTTCTTTTTACAGTAATGAATCATTTTTATTCTGGTAGGGTTTTTTAGTATTACGGTAATGACTTTTTCATCTTTCTGGTGGAGTTTTTTTTTTTTTTGAGGAAATTAGTATTTTTTTTCATTATGGTAATGACTTATTGTCATCTTTCTGGTAATGTTTTTTTCATTTACGGTAAGGACTTTTTCTCATTCTGGTAGTGTTTTTTTCATTATGGTAATGACTTTCTAATTCTGGTAGTGTTTTTTTTTTCATTACGGTAATGACTTTTTCTCATTCTGGTAGTGTTTTTTTTTTCATTACGGTAATGACTTTTTCTCATTCTGGTAGTGTTTTTTTTCTTTATGAAAATGAGTCATTCTGGTAGTGTTTTTTTTTTCATTACGGTAATGACTTTTCATTCTGGTAGTGTTTTTTTTATTACAGTAATGACTTATGTTTTTGGTAGTGTTTTTTCATTACTGTAATGACTTTTTCTCATTCTGGTAGTGTTTTTTTCATTACTGTAATGACTTATTGTTAACTTTCTGGTAGTTTTTTTTCATTACGGTAATGACTTTTTCTCATTCTGGTAGTGTTTTTTTTCTTTATGAAAATGAGTCATTCTGGTAGTGTTTTTTTTTTCATTACGGTAATGACTTTTCATTCTGGTAGTGTTTTTTATTACAGTAATGACTTATTGTCATGTTTTTGGTAGTGTTTTTTCATTACTGTAATGACTTTTTCTCATGCTGGTAGTGTTTTTTTTCATTACTGTAATGACTTTCTCATTCTGATAGTGTTTTGTTTTAAATTACTGTAATGACTCATTGTCAACTTTCTGGTAGTTTCTTTCATTACGGTAATGTCTTATTGTTTTCAATTTGGTAGTGTTTTTTATTACGGCAGGGGTGTCCACACTAGGTCCTGGAGGGCCAGTGTCCTGGAAAATTTAGCTCCAACCCTAATCAAACACACCTGAACCAGCTAATCAAACTGTATTACTGTAATGACTCATTCTGGTAGTGTTTTTTTTTTTTCATTACGGAAGTTTTCATTCTGGTAGTGTTTTTTATTACCGTAATAACTTATTGTTTTCATTCTAGTAGTGTTTTTTTCATTACCGTAATAACTTATCGTTTTCTTTTTGGTAGTTTTTTTTAGTTTTTTCATTACGGTAATGACTTATTGTTTTCATTCTGGTACTGTTGTTTTCATTACAGTAATGACTTATTTTTTCATTCAGTAGTGTTTTTTCATTACGGTAATGACTTTTTTTCAATGAAATATTTTTATGTTGGTAGTTTTTTTTTCAGCATTACAGTAAAGAATTATTGTTTTCATTCTCATAGTGATTTTTTTTTTGCATTACAGTAATGACATTTTTTTTCGTTTTTTTTTTTTTTTTGCATTACAGTAATTGTTTCCATTCTGGTAGTCATAGTGAATTATTTTCATTCTGGTAATGATTTTATTTTATAAATTGAAAAAAGATTCATCCAAAAACTCCACCAGTACTATACATTTTTGTGTGTGTGTGTGTGTTTGTTGAATGTAAACGTTTCACAAAGCTAAATTTTGTCTGTCAGACTGATCTCAAACAGTGTGCTCAAGCAAATCACGCTGTTTGTAATTAATACTTCATGTTGAGCTCCTGATTTTTGGATTTGTGTGTTTGGAATAATGAGGTGTATGTTCTGTGTGTGAGTTGTTCGCACCTAGAACAAGTCAAATGTCTTTTTGATGTAAATCACTAACAAGTAAAGCATTTGTTACTTGATGCAAACTAAATGGGAGCGTGTATTTGCACACGCAAGTGCATAAATGTACGTAAAAGCAAGACGCTTTGTTTTTCTTTAGTTTTAGTCAATTTTCAATTCACAGACTACTTAGATTTTCCATTAAACATATATTTCACTCACTTGAAATAAGCTGTCCAAATGGAAAAATAAGTTATGAACTCAAGGTCGCTGAAATGAACACTCTTTTATGGACGTTGTTGTTATTATTCAGACTTTTGTAGCATATGCACACTTCTTTTTCCTAAATGGAAATGCAACAAAAAGCCCAAAACAAATGACAATCAGGCATTTCATACAAAGGATGTTTTGGCACAACATAAGCCTCAAGTGTAAGTGTTGTGCTTAAAAAAATAATGCAAAGACGAGTAAAAAAAAACTAAACAGATCCCAGTTTCCATCACCAGCACCGAAATAATCAGCCGGAGGTTTTCCATCATCCAGGTCAATGTTCTTTCACTGTACAGTCTTTGTTTTTACATTTAATTCCAGGGTTTCATCGGCACAGACAATCCTGTGAACGTCTGTTTGCGTTATTTTTGTGTGTATGTGTGTGTGTGTGTGTGTGTGAACTGTAAAAGTTGGCATGAATGTTTTGCAGATGTGTGGTTGCATGTTTTACTCTTTTTGAGCATGCAGAGAGGACTCTCTTCTCTTCTGCTGATGTTACTTCATTTCTGCTATGCTTACAGACTGAGCTTTGATACACCGGTACATCCCAATCCTCTTCCCAGCTCTCATTTGCAGATGTTTGTTTTATTTAATAATTATAATAGCAATGAAAAAAGTAGACAATTCTAGATAGACTTTATGGTGCAATGAGGAGAAAATAAAAAGCATCATGAATTGTTTTCTGTAGAGTGCAGCAGTTGGTGAATTTGTCGATTCTTGATTGTTATTTTTTTTAATGTCATGTACTGCTTTTTTCGTCAGAGGGCTTTTGTTTTTCTTTATTCTGAAGTAGATGTACATCTAATCAAATGCCAAATAAATTGTACAAATGAAGCACAGTCGTGTTTGGGTCTCTTTTGTCGGAAAGGTAAGTGAAATCATTTTTTATTATTATTATTTTTTATGTTAAATGATCATTATGTTTGTCGCAGGGTATAAGAGTAACACTTTGCCATGACTTTCGTAGTTGTGAGAGTTTGTTTCGTGTTTAATTTAGCAAACTAAACATTATTTAATTTATTTTTTATTAAAACAAATGTTTTCTCCTACTGATCTGCAAGTGTTATTTTTAATTTTGTATGTGTTACTGTATCTAATGGTGCAATTATTAAACCGACATTTGACAACACATTTATAAAACATAGTGCACAAAACATTATTATTACATTATTATTCTTTCATTTTCCTTTGGCTTAGTCCCTTTATTCATCAGGGGTTGGCACAGCGCCAGCTTATATGTTTTACGCAGTGGATGCCCTTCCAGTCGCAACCCAGTACTGGGAAACACCCAAACACACTCTTTCAAACACACACACTCACACACTACGACCAATTTAGTTCATCAATACCCCTATAGCGCATGTGTTTGGACTGGGGGAAACCGGAGCACCCGGAGGAAACCCACGCAAATGCAGGGAGAACATGCAAACTCCATACAGAAACGCCAACTGAGCAGAGGCTCGAACCAGCGACCTTCTTGCTGTGAGGCGACAGCACTACCTACTGCGCCACTGCGTCACCCGTCTTTTAAATTGAATTTAAAAAAATTAACCCATTAATTGGTTTAGCTGCATTACAACCAAAATTGGATTTAAAAATAACCCAGCATCTTTAGAGTGTTGGATCATTAGTTTATATTGCTATTGTATTGCCATGGCAACTATAAAATTGGCGCAACAAATTAATATTGTTCAAACCAATATAATAATTTGGTATATTTATAGACACACACACACACACAGTCCACTTTATTAGGTACACCAGTCCAACTGCTTGTTAACGTTAATTTCTAATCAGCCAATCACATGACAGCAACTCACTGCATTTAGGCACATAGTCAAGACGATCTGCTGCAGTTCAAACTGAGCATCAGAATGGGGAAGAAAGTGGATTTAAGTGACTTTGAACGTGGCATGGTTGTATGTGCCAGACGGGCTGGTCTGAGTATTTCAGAAGCTGCTGATCTACTGGGATTTTCTCACACGTATCTCTGAACACACAACACGTCCAACCTTAAGGCGGATGGGCATTTGAGCATCGTGTCAACACCACAGCGTACCCGAGTATTGTTGCTGACCATGTCCATTCCTTTATGACCACATCTGCTGATGTCTACTTCTGGCAGGATAACACACCATGTCATGAAGCGTGAATTATCTCAGACTGGTTTCTTGAACATGACAGTGAGTTCACTGTACCTAAATGGCCTCCACAGTCACCAGATCTCAATCCAATAGAGCACCTTTGGGATGTGGTGGAATGGGAGATTCACATCATGGATGTGCAAATCTGCAGCAACTGTTTGATGCTATCATGTCAATATGGAGCAAAATCTCAGAGGAATATGAATCTACGCCATGAAGGATTAAGGCAGTACTGAAGGCAAACGTAGGTCCAACCTGGTGCTAGTACCTAATAAAGTGACCTGGTAAGTGTACATGTAAAAGTTAGTGTAGTATATTTTAAATACTATGAAAGTGAATGGTTGTTGTTTTTTTTCTTTCTCATTCGTTTTCATTCTTCAGATTATCTTCATTTGTGTTCAGCAGAAGAAAGAAACTAAAGTAGGTTTTGAACAACTGGAGGACGAGTAAATGATGATTGTTTAGGTGAACAATCTCTTTAAAGGGGACCTTTTATGTGCCTTTTCACAAGATGTAACATATAACTTTATTTTACAACTCTCTGAAACTGACCCTTTTAGGTTTCGATCCTAATTGTGGCATTTTGGTGACGGTCGCTTTAAATGCAAATGAGATTGAGCTCTTTTCAGAAGAGGGCGGAGCTACAAATGCCTATGTGTCAGCATAGTGGCAGATTCAAAAACAAGATTAATGTCCTATGCTAATGAGGGAGAGACGGTGACTAGTGGGCAAGGCTTTCCCCTTCTGATGACACGTACAAAGGGAGAATGTCAACCGAAGTGTTTCTGCAGACTGTTTATATCGAGAGTGATTATAAATTATAAAGTTAATACATTTTTTACCATTAAAAGCTGCTTATATTCACACACTGCTGACACACAACTGTGTTTAACCTCCATATAAAAGTGATTGTTGCGTAATAGTTCCCCCCTTTAAGATCTCATAACTGTTATTTGATTCTCTTGAGCGTGGGACGACTCTAATCCAGAATGACTCTTTTGAACGATTGAATGGCTGCTCATTCATTTCTGTCCGTCCTGGAAATCGATCGCTCTTAAATGTCTCGTGAGCCAAAAAGGGGGATCCCAGATGTAAAGACGCACTCAATGACCCCCGTGTAAAAGCCGATCCTCGGGCCCTCTGGGAGTCCCGGTCCACAGAGATTAGACATCGGTGACAGAGGTCTGACATTCACAAATAAAGGATTCACTGTTGCACAGATGTGTGACGTGTTGCATAAGATCTGCATGGTATATACAACGACAAGTGTTCAGGCTATTTAAAGGCAGTTAAGAGTTTCTTCTGTTGAACACAAAAGGAGATATTTTGAAGAATGCTGGTTGCACCCATTGACTTCCTTAGTAGGAAAGATATTGACTATGGAAGTCAATAGGTGCCAACATTTTCCACATATCTTCTTTTGTACATAAAGATTTGTATTTAAAGATTTGATTTGAACATAATGGGCCCTATCATACACCCGGCGCAATATGTGCTTGGCGCGATTTGTTGCTATTTTCAGACCAGCGCAACCCTAATTATCCAGTTTTGCACCATGTTGTTTTCAAGAGTTCACACTTAGATATTGCTTGACAACTGTAAGCAGGTTTGGCATGCTGTCCCGGGAGAGAACCCTGAGCTCGGAGATAGTTGAGCCCAGGGCTCCCGCCAGGTCCATAGAGCATGTGAGGGGAGTACGAGATCAGGTGGTTCTCCAGAGCTCCCCCTTTTTTGTAAAGGAGATGAGGAGGAGAAAGGGGGTGGATGGGGGGTTTCTTCGGAAAACGAAGATAATGGAGTGATATCTAGCTAGGCTACTTATAGTGAGTTAGGATAGATCTGATTGGCTAACTAATGAGTGTAGATAGGTGGCCAGCTGCAGTCAATTATATCACGTGCTCCTCTCGAAATTAGTTTAAAAACTTCACTAAATAGTAAATCCATTTGCGCTACTTTTTGGACTCATGAGTGTGCGGGTCTAGAAAGGAGGTGTGTTAAGGCGCATTGTTGGTGCGTTGCTATTTTGAGAAACTGAAATAGATCGCACAATTGAGAGCATGTAAGTTGTGCGCCTTAAACGCTTACACATTGCTTAATACACACAGGAGGTACAGCATGTGCAAATATCTTTACAGATGAAAACAATTACAGGATTATTAATTAATTTTCTTTTCGGCTTAGTCCCTTTATTAATCATGGGTAATTTATTTAATATTTATAAAGCAAATCCAATAAGGTCCACTTGTTTTGTAAACAAAGCAATTCACCCATGTGACATATCTACTAAAATATTACTTTACAAACTGCATTCATCCATTTTACTTCAGCTTGGTCCCTTTATTGATCAGGGGTGGCCACAGCGGAATGAACCGCCAACTTATCCAGCATATGTTTTACGCAGCGGATGCCCTTTCAGCTGCAACCCATCACTGGAAAACAACTATACACATTTATTCGCACACATACTACGGACAATTTAGCTTATCCGATTTACCTGTACCGATTGTCTTTGGATTTGTGAGGGAACAACACCGAGAGGAAACCCACGCGAACGCCCAATTAAGGGATTCAATTGTTACCAATATTATTATTTTCTACATAAATCTAAAAACCACTGCCTCCATGCCTTCTTCACCTCGGGGGGCTTTTTCAGTTTATTCATGACACTTTGCATTAGTTTAATGTTATTATTATTAGCAGTATTATTTATTATATTCAAATTTATATTTCTTTTAATAAAAACAAGCTTAGATTTGTCTATCTGTGGGGTTTTGGAGACGACTGCATTACCATATGGGGCATAAGAACTGGGTGTGTTTGGATATAGCTCAGTTTTCTGACCACACTTCATTATTATTGTTCATTTATTCATTTGCTGGAGATTAAAACTGAATTTAGAAATAGTTTGAAGCAAATCTCTGCATTAAACAAACAAAAGTAAATATGTAGACTAATGGATGTCTTCAGTGGAGTGAGTTTCCACCGTTTTCTAACTTCACCAAAGTAAAGGAGTAAAGAGTAAAAGTAAAGTGAAAGTAAAGAGGCTGAATGGAGGAGGCTCGTTCTTTAACCTCGCGCTGCAGATGCTCTGTTTAACTGTTTTAATTTTTGGTTTCCCACTAGTGAAGAGTTCAGTATTTACACTTACAAAGTCCGCCATGTAAATAGCAAATGCCCCATGGCGCGACACAACAGACTCTTAAAGGAAATGTGAGATGAGACTCTGATTGGTTTAATACACGTTATGCTCAAAACACAGCCAGAACTCATTGAGAGAATAAACACAACCCTGTTTTGATGTGTTCACACCAGACGCGGAACGCGCGGATAAATCGCGATATTCGCACGTAAATTGCTGCGTAAACATTTGAGTTTACTCGCTTCATTCGCGTGTCAAACCCCGCTTCATTCAGGCGTGAAATCCGCTTCATTCGCGTGTCAAATTCACTTCAGAACAGACGCGGATTCGCGTGATGGGCAGGGCTTCTGTCTGCCCGGTGACTGTAGCTTCGTTGCTAAATGGCTAACATGGATTTTATTGAGAAAATAACAGTGTTTATGTGCTTTATGGAGACTGAAAAACAGCGCCGATACGTTTAGGGCTGTGTCAGAGTCCACTAGATTCTTTCAGAGGTGCATTCAGCTCTGAGAGCTCATAAACTCCTCCAGAAACTGAACCTGGATGATGGAGGCTTTCAGCGGTGCTTCTGACTGAGCCCAGCCCAGTTTGATGACTTGTTGTCGATGTCGCCTGGAGGATTTCCCCCAGGACTCCAACAACAGGTTCTACGTCACAATCACGCCCCCACAAGAGCAAGCTTCTGATTGGTTAACGCGAAACGCTCGTTAAGCACGTCAAACGCGCAAAATGCTCAATTCGTGTATCGCGCTATTCGCACCGCGCCACAGGATGTCTATTCGCGCGTTTGCATTGACAACATGTAAATCCTTCACGCTTGACGCGCGTTCCGCGTCTGGTGTGAACGCAGCATTAGACCATGCGCCAGAGTGCAGAACATTTTTGTCCATCCTTAAAATAGCAGAAGTGGATTTGGACACCCTTAATGCTTTTGCACCATGAGCTTCAGATTGTTAAAATAGAGCCCAATGGTTTAAAACCATATGAGTAGGGCACTAGGGCAGCGCGGTGGCTCAGTGGTGAGCACTGTCGCCACACAGCAAGAAGGTCGGCTGGGTTAGTTGTCATTTCTGTGTGGAGTTTGCATGTTCTCCCCCCGTGTTCGTGTGGGTTTCCTGCGGGTGCTCTGGTTTCCCCCACAGTCCAAACACATGCGTAATAGGGGAATTGAGTTAACTAAATTGGCTGTAGTGTATGAGTGTGTGAATAAGTGTGTATGGATGCTACCCAGTACTGGGTTGTAGCTGGAAGGGCATCTGCTGTGTAAAACATGTTGGATAAGCTGGTGGTTCATTTCAGTGTGGTCACCCCTGATGAATAAAGAGACTAACCCAAAGGAAAATTAATAAATGATGGAGAAATTTTTTTTCTTACCTCCGTATGGACTGCTTTTCCGCCGTTACCAGTTTGTCCAATGGCTCGCCGCGTACGTCACAGGATTTGAGACGTGAACCACAACAATGGGGTTCGAGTCTGGTGAAGAACGGTTCCAGAAAGGAGGTAAGAAAAAAAACAGAAGCCAAAAAAATAAATAAATAAGTAAATAACAAGGTAAGAATGTGGTCAAATCTGACAATGTGGTAAAAATCAGTAGAGGGCTTTTCTTTTTCTAGATTGCTTTTGAAAACACTATTGGTTGGGTTTAGGGACAGAGGAGGGCGAGTCAGTCCATTGGTCAGTCAGTTGACAGTGGCCTCTGGTGGGTTTACGGGGGAACAGCAGGCGTGAATGGCTTTCACAAGAGAAATTTGACATCTGAAAAAGAGTACACAGCGGCCTCTGGTGGATTCAAGAAAACAAAAACTGCAAAAAAATAAATAAATAAAAAATAAATAAAAAATAAAAGTACCTCCAGGGACATATTTGGCGCTTTCCAGAAATCGGGGTACATTTTCACAATGAAGAAATGATAAAATAAAACATTGTGCATTTATGAAGTGTGCCTCATACAGGTGAGTGGGCTTGACAAACCACCAGCAGAAACACTCTTCTCTCTATTATAAAAGAAACAGCCTCCCCTCCTTATTGTAGCACTAAATTCTCTGGGCACTAACAGTTTGTTTGTATAATCAGCACTTGTTGTGTGTATTGCTTCTTCTTGTTGAATTACTGAATGCCTCCTCAATTGTGTTACATTGGACAAAAGCGTCTAAATGTAAACGTTTTAATAGTCATTTTAATTATTGATCGACTGATCTAGAATGTCTCCACTGTATTTAATCTCTGTAAGTCATTCTGTCTGTATCCTCTCTCTCTCTCTCTCTTTCTCCTGATTGCAGATGCTCTCAGTGTTCATTTCTCCGGTTCCTCGTTCAACAACTGTTATTTGTGTGAGTCTGGGGACGAGCGCAGCGGCAGCGACACGCTCAAATGAGCACAGTCAGAGGAAGAAAAAAAAAAACCCCTGACATCCTACCTCCATCTCTATTTAAACGCAGCACTTCTTTACGTTTTGGATTGTTTGGAGTCCAGGAGCGGCGGGAGCCTGTTTACTGATGGTGATGATGATACTGATGCTGATGATGTCCGTGCTTTTATTGGCACGCACTGATGATGGTGAGTGACGGCAGATTCACTGTTTACACTTTGAAACAAAAAATGCTGGGTTGTTTTAACTCAATGCTGGGTCAATTTTTCCATTTATTCATCACTTTTCCACCCAATTTGCTGGGTTCAAGCTTGTTCTGATTTGAACACTATCCACTACACTGAAGAGAGGCATGGCAGCACTTTGCTGCAGACACAGAAGCTCAATTCTCAGTGGTTTTATTCACATTTATTAAAAAATGTTTGACATTTCAGTGAAACCATGTCAAACATAGCATTAAATGCGAATAAAACCACTGAAAATGCTAAAGAACCATATAAAAATGTAGAGAAGGATTGCATTTACACATTAATGTTAAAATTGATCGCAAATTTTTCTTTTAAATGATGTCTGTCCATTATAATGTCTAGTCTGTTCTAATCATGCGCAGAATATAAAACAAAAAACATCTAAATAAAGGTTAAATTTGATCATTTTCGAGTGTGTGATGTTCAGAAACTTCAACTACAGACCAATATTTGGATTGTTTGATCTTTAATTTGATGTTGGCATATTGTTTTTATAAAGTACAAACCGCCTTGATGTCTGATGACATGGACAAAAAATCATTATTAAATTATTTGGACATTTTATTAAGTTTTAATTATGGAATTTAGTCTCATTTATGGACAAAAATCAATTAAAGCATGTTGAATTTTTATTCTTTATATTTAATCTTAATTATGGAATTTAGTTTTATTTATGGACAAAGAAATCCATTTAATATTTTATTTAGTCCCATCTATGGACAAAAAATAAATTAATTAATTTAAAAAATGTTGACTTTGTATTATTTTTATTTAGTTTTATAAATGAATTTTAGTAAATTTTTTGGAAAAAGAATCACAAAGAATGTTGATATTTGTATTACTTTTATTTAATGTAATTTGTGGAATTTAGTCTCATTTATAAACAATAATCAATAAAAGAACATTGATGTTTTATTAGTTTTATTTGGTGTCAATTGTGGAAAAAAAATCTATAAAAAATGTTGATTTTGCAATATTTCTATTTAGTTTTATTAATGAAATTAGTCTCATTTATGGACAAAGAAATCAAAGCAAGTTAGTATTTTTATTATTTTTATTTAGTCTCATTTATGGACAAAGAAATCAATTAAAGCAAGTAATATTTTTATTAGTTTTATTTAGTCTCAATTGTGGAATTTTGTATCATCTATGGACAAAAAAATCTATAAAAAATGATGATATTTTTATTAGTTTTATTTAGACTCAGTTATGGGCAAAAGAAATCAATTAAAGCATGTTGATTTTTTATTCTTTATATTTAATCTTCATTAAGGAATTTAGTTTCATTTATGGACAAAGAAATCCATTTAATATTTTATTTAGTCCGATTTATGGACAAAAAAATTATTAATTAATTTTAAAAATGTTGACTTTGTATTATTTTTATTTAGTTTTATAAATGAATTTTAGTAAATTTTTTGGAAAAAGAATCACAAAGAATGTTGATATTTGATTATTTTTATTTAATGCAACTTATGGAATTTAGTCTTATTTATGAACAATAATCAATAAAAGAATATTGATATTTTATTAGTTTTATTTAGTGTCAATTATGGACAAACAATCAATTAAAAATGTTGGTTTTGCATTATTTTTATTTAGTTTTATTAATGAAATTAGTCTCATTTATGGACAAAGAAATCAATTACAGAATATTGACAAATTTATTAGTTTATTTAGATTCAATTATGGAATTTTGTCTCATCTATGGACAAAAATCTAATAAAAAATGTTGGTTTTGCATTATTTTTATTTAGTCTCAATTATGGATTTTAGTCTCATTTATGAACAATAATCAATTAAAAAATGATGATTATTTTTATTAGATTTATATTTATAGTCTCATTTATGGACAAATAAAATTAAATAATGTTGACATTTTTATTATTCATATTTAGTTTCATTAACGGAATGAAACTCCAAGTTCAATATGAAATATCAATACAAACACTTTTTAACCCAACGTTTGGGATTGTCCATATCTGACCCAACACTGAGTTAAAACAACCCAACCGTTCTTTTAGTTTTTGATTTAAATGTGATGAATATTTGATATTGATTTGAATATTTGTCCTCAGACTTTTGTTATGACGAGGACCACTGTGGTGAGTTCATGAGCGAAAGCAATCATGCGTTATTCAAACATGCTATTTCTGTTGTGATGAGCTTAAACAAGGCCATAATGTTGTTGTCAGATCCATATGCATGGGGAGACAGTTATCCTTCCTGTCATCCGCTTCTGGACAGCCATCATTCGCCCATCAACCTGGACCATCATCTGATGAAGAACCACTCGCTGGACTCTCTGCAGCTCCATGGCTTTAATCTGACTCATAAAGGTCAATGGTGGCTGACGAACCAGGGACACTCGGGTACAGAAACTCTACATTAGGTCTTGTTTAGAATAGGGTTTTTTTCTGCATTGGGGTTTTAGAAAAGTCTTTATTCAATTTAATTATCATCATTTATTACATCGTAAGCCATGAGCAGAGCCAGACAGAATCTACAGGTGTTTATTTTTTATTTCTGCACAGAGTTTTATATACAAAATATGTGGATATATGCAGAATGTTTTTGAGTATAGATACTAAAGACATTTATTTAATATTTATAAAGCAAATCCAATTAGGTCCACTTGTTTGGTAAACAAAGCAAGTCTCTCATATGATATATCTACTGAAATATTCCTCTACAAACGGTTTTCATTCATGTTCCTTCAGCTTGGTCCCTTTATTCATCAGGGGTGGCCACAGCGGAATGAACCGCCAACTTATCCAACATATGTTTTACACAGCGGATGACCTTCCATCTGCAACCCAGTACTGGGAAACACCCATACACTCTCATTCACACAATACGGCTTATTCAATTCTTCTATAGCGCATGTGTTTGTACTGTTGAGCACCCGGAGGAAACCAAACACAGGGAGAACATGCAAACTCATGCAAACACACAGAAATGCCAACTGAGTTCAGGGCTCAAACCAGCGACCTTATTGCTGCGAGGCGACAGTGCTAACCACTGAGCCACAGTGTCGCCTCTTAATGTTTTCAGTGCAAATCCAATTAGATCCACTTGTTTGTTATAGATATAGGTATTGATTAGATCCCTTCTTATATGATATATCTACTAAAACTATTTACAATCTGCATAGTACAGGAATATTATACCCATTTTGATTTTATTGAGTGATATTACTGAAATTATTATAAAAACAGAATAAATAAAGATATTTACACACATTTAAATAAATTAATAAACTCAATGAAGATTTTCATTAAAAGGTGGACCTTAACAGCTTCAATGAGGCACTGTGAATGCATAAATAATTACATCTACACTCTAAAAAATAACTCAAGAGGTCTGTTACCACTGCATAGTTTAATACATTATTGTAACTTAAAATTTTAAAAATGCTGATTAGATTAAGACTTTTAAATTGCCAGAATAATTTTATTAAGTTTTCAAAACAGGAAAATATTGAAAATTACATCAATTTAAAATTCGGCTAATTTAAAAGTAAACAAAAATGTCACTTACTTTTAAACAATATTTAACTTGTAGCAACCCAAAGAAATTGGGTTGATAGCTCAATTTTTCCACACTAATGGAGTTGTTTTGTATTTTTTCACTGATGTTTTTTGCTGTTTTTATACTGATAATATGGAACACTACACGTTTTTGTTTTGTAAAACAATAAAAACCTTTTTTATAAAAAACAAATTACTGAAAAACAAAAATGCTGTTGTTAAATGTATTTCATACAAGCATGAACAGTAAATTTGCTTTAAAAAAAAATTGAACAATTACAGCTACTCTAGGTTCTAAACTTAAAACCATGCAATCACGCACAAAACACTGATTTGTTTTCAAAAAAAACTATTTGAAACAACTTATTTTTTTGAGTTCTCAACTTAAAAAAATGGAGTTTATGCTAAGTAAAAATGCCTCTGATTGAAGAGGAAAAGATTTGGCAAACAATAAAGTTGTTGTCTGAACCTCATTTTGTCAGATGTTGTCGTAACTTAAATATATTAATGCAAACTGTTGCGTTAATTTTTTTTGTTTTGTCTAAACAATATTTTTTAGAGTGTACAAAATTTAAAGTGAATTGCTAAATATCAAATATTTAAATGCTAGAGTTTTACAATTCTGTCATCGTTTACTCACCCTGCACTTGTTCCAAACCTGTTTGAGTTTCATCTACTGACCACAAAAGAAGATATTTTGAAGAATGTTGGAATCCGGTAACCATTGACTTCCATAGCATTGACTTACTTATATGAAAGACAATGATTACGGGTTAAATAGCAAAATTTGTGCCTAAAAAATTAGCTGCTGTACAGATAATTCCACAAATCAGAAAGCCTCAGTGATATAACATTGCACAACCATAAAGCACTGATAATGATATAATTAAATCGGTTTCCCTGTGCTTTCTCTATTATTTTTTTTTTTTTTTTGTTTATTCATGACAATCTGCATCTGTATAATGTTATTATTATTATTATTATTAATCTTCTGGCCAATCAAATACTCTCCTGACATGCCCCGCCCCCTTCTCATTTGCTTTTCATTTGATGTGCTTGAGCTCAACCACTTTCCCTGGCAGAGCTGTGATAAAAACTAAACGCTATTGGCTGTTTTTTAAAGGGGATGGGCTACAATATGCCCCATGCTCTCTCCATTACGTCAAACATCAAATGAAAAATGCACAGTTCAAAGCACTTCACAAGAACTTTAAATATCCCTCAAGGAAAATTAATGTGCACAATAATGCAATTCATTGACTTTTAGAAAGTTGTTGCTTCAAGTGTCTTCAGGAAGTTGGAATAATCCATGTCTCCACTGTTTCTAATTGGAGTTGTGTGTCTGGTGTGCAGTTGTGCTGGAGGTTGGTGACGGTATGCAGGTCAGTGGCGGAGGTCTTCCTGCAACTTATCGCACCTTCCAGCTGCATTTCCACTGGGGAAGCGTCTCCTCAAATGGGTCTGAACACACCCTCGACCACCTCAGGTTTCCTATGGAGGTTTGTGCCTTCGTTTGGTCAATATCTAGTGTAAGCTAACCGTTACATACAGTTGAAGTCAGAATGACTAGCCCTCCTGAATTATTAGTCTCCCTATATATTGTTTCCCCCAATTTCTGTTTAATAAAGAGAATTTTTCAACACATTGTTTTAACATAATAGTTTTAATAACTAATTTCTAATAACTGATTTCGGTAACACTTTATAATAACTACACACTATAAATCATTTATTAAGCATTAGCAAATAGTGAATTTATTATCTGTTAAGCATTAACTCTACATTAATAAGTGTTAGTAAGCAGGTTATAACTGCAGCTACAAATGCTCTATTCTTGACTTATAAGCACCCATATAATGTGGTTAATAATTGTATTTTCATACTTAGTTAATGATTTATTTTTCATTACTAAATTAAGTATCTAATTATTTACAAACTGTTTGTATTTAAGAGTAGTTGAGGGTTTTCAGGACCATTCAGAATGAGTTAGTAAATGATTAATAAACTATTGAAATCAACATTTATATATCTTATTATTCAGGCATATATTAATGGTTACTATGTATGTTAATAAATGCTTTATTAACTCAACTTCATGCAGTTTTGTGACCTAATCTAAAGTGAGGACTTTTCATGCTTTATAAATCCCTTATAAATGACAAATAAAGGCTCAGTTAAATTCTAAACAGGAAAAGACATTATTCATTTCTCTTCCTTTGAAGATACACAAATGAAACTGTACTTCAAATGAAAAATAAATCTTTGCAACCTGATCTAAAATAGAATCACTATTGAGTTTAAACATTATTATAATGTTAGATGATTATATTGTTGTTGTTTTATCCAGTTGGATGTCATATTTTGACACTCCTGTTATTCAGCATTGTTTAAACTTTACATTAATTTTACTTTTCAGAAAGATTGCACAGATTATCGTTCATTTGATACTGAGCCTTTAATAGTCATTTATAAGGGATTTATAAAGCATGAATAGTCCTCACTTTAGATTAGGTCACAAAACTGCATGAAGTTGAGTTAATAAAGCATTTACTAACATATTAGTTAACTATTAGTATATGCCTGAATAATAAGACATATAAATGTTGATTTCAATAGTTTATTAATCATTTACTAACTCATTCTGAATGATCCTAAAAACCCTCAACTACTCTTAAATACAAACAGTTATAAATAACAGTGTAAATAATTCGATACTTAATTTAGTAATGAAAAATAAATCATTAACCAAGTATGAAAATACAATTATTAACCACATTATATGGGTGCTTATAAGTCAAGAATAGAGCATTTGTAGCTGCAGTTATAAACGGCTTACTAACGTTTATTAATGTAGAGTTAATGCTTAACAGATAATAAATTCACTATTTGCTAATGCTTAATAAATGATTTATAGTGTGTAGTTATTATAAAGTGTTACCCTGATTTCTTTTCTTTGCCATGATGACAGCACATAAAAGTTGACTAGATATTCTTTAAGACACTAGTATTCAGCTTAAAGTGACATTTAAAGGTTTAACTAGGTTAATTAGGTTAAAGTTAATTAGTTAAGTCATTGTATAACAGTGGTTTGTTCTGTAGACCAGTGGTTCCCCAAGTGAGGGTCGGGACAATGACAGGGAGTCGCTTGGTGATTTTCAAAAGTCAAATTAAATTGTATTATTTTTATTATTATTATCATATATAGATTTTTAAAAGTTTTTTTTTGGCCTTTATTATTAGATAGGACAGTATTGAGACAGGAAGCAAAGTGGGAGAGAGAGACAGGGAGTAGGGTAGGGAAATGTCGTCGAGCCAGGATTCGAACTCGCAACGCCCTGACATGCTATTACACCATATGTTGGCGCGCTAACCACTAGGCTATTGCGCGGACAATAAATTTTATTACACTGTTAGAATCCCCATATTTTATCCATAACCTACTAAAGATAAAATAGTAGTTTTTAATAATAAAAAAGCATCAACATTCAAATGAAAAGCCATCAGCCTTTCAATAATTTGTTTTCTAGGATTTGTGTTTACTTTAGATTAACAACACAGCAATAGCGTCAGGTTCAGCAGATTGATTTTTATAGCACAAGGTAAAACTTTCTGATACCTTTATGGCATTAAAATAAAGAAATACAGGCCACAACTGAGCATTAAGAGTGATCTCTGAGTGGCGGTCTCCAAAAATAAACCAAGCGTAAACTTATGCTGAAAACATTGTGTCCACCAGTCTCTTTAGCTAAGGTTAACACTTAAACTAATAAATAAATTACTATAAAAAATGATATGGTTGTTAGACTGTTTTTTGTGTTTTTAATATGCTGGTGTTTAATGGGGCTATTGTTGTGTGCGCAAAATTTGTATATTTATAACCTCCTCAGAGGAATTTGGGGGTTGCGAGTTACTGGGATTGTTATTTTAGGGGTCGTGGGCTGAAAAGTTTAAGGACTCCTGCTGTAGAAAATCGAAAAAATATTGCTTAAAGGGGGCTAATAATATTGACCTTAATATGGTGTTAAAAACTACTTTTATTCTAGTCAAAATAAAACAAATAAGACTTTCTCCAGAAGAAAAAATATTATGGGAAATACTGTGAAAATTTCCTGAATCTGTTAAACATCATTTAGGAAATGTTTGAAAAATACAAAAATGCGGCGAATAATTCTGACTGAATACATTTTCAGTGTTTGCTCATGTTGTTTGTGTGCAGATGCACATAGTGAACATCAAATCCACGCATCCAAACTTGACGTCTGCACTTGAAGACCCAACCGGCATTGCTGTGCTTGGAGTATTTGTTGACGTAAGACGTAGCTCTACCTGAAAGAGCATCTCATCTCTATTTCATCAGCATCAATCACCCTCATCTTTAATACTCTACTGCAGGTGACTTATCTGCACAATGAAAACTTCCAGTCCATCTCAAGTGCACTTTCTTATGTTGCCTACAAAGGTCAGTCAATGCAGTATGTTTGTATATTCCAGTATATTTGAAAGTTTAATCCATGGATTTAAATGTTCTTGTAGGACAAACAAAGTCGATCAAACCATTCCCGTTGGTGAACTTGTTACCTCAGAACAACCTGACGCAGTATTATCGTTATCACGGCAGCCTCACAACGCCACCCTGTTCAGAGGTGGTTTTGTGGACCATTTATGAAGTGCCTGTGTATATTTCATGGGCTCAGGTAAGTCATCTTAAAGTTGATCAAACTGCTTGCATCACACCCTTATAGTCTAGTATACGGCAAAAAATAAGTGATGGTCACTTTCGAACCACTGCTTCATGAAGCTTTGAAACCTTTACAAACTTTTTGCTTCGATGCAGCGTTTCGGAGAACGAATCAAATTGGCAAGGTCATATGATTTCAGTAAGCCGGGCTGCGTTACGTTATTACTAGGGATGCACAATATATCGGCGACCACATCGTTATCGGCCGATAAAGGCTATTTTTAATGTTACCGATATTGATCCGATGTCAAAATTAGGCTGATAGATTACATAATCGTACAGTACTGGCTGCCTTGCACGTGGATCGAACTTGTTCAGACTTGTCCAGTGCACTACAACAGAGCTTTCCTCACATTGTGCGTTAATAACTCAGTAACCATAATCCTTATCATTGTAAATATGTTTGATAGAGTGTTATTGGGTATTTTGGTTTAAATCGCCTCTGGAAAAATATTATATATGTAAACATAATAGCAGCAATGCACACATGCTAAACAACTTGTTGGGTTGTTTGTTATATAATTAGATTATTTGCTATTATTAACGCTTTGCTTGCCTTGTATTGTTGATGTAAGATTGTATTTAGTTTGATCTGCATATTTATAATGAGCACACGTGATGTTTATCATGTTCAAAAAGAATCTAAAACGCCAAATGGGACGACTCTATGACAAATTTTCTAAAGTATTATTATCAGTATTTTGCTTTTCGCTTGTACGGTGGCTCTGAACTGTCAAAACACCTCTCAAAAATTTTTTTTGCACTGCCATGCATTTCTCTGAGCTCCAGTGAGCAGTGCACGTCGGACAGTTTATCGAAGATGTACTGCAGGATCACGTCTCACTATAGTTGTTAAACGTGATATTCAGACATCCCAAGTCTTACAATTGGGCCAGTAGAAAAAATCCTTAGTGTTTAACCCTGATTAGTAAAACAAAAACACACAATGCATGCTTACAGAGTGCTGCATCTTCTGCAAAAATAATATTACCCCATATTACATTAAATCACAACAGCATATTAAATTTAATGCAAGAATACTGTCATGTAGAATATGTTGTGTGCAGATTTTTGGTATGTTTGTGAAGAAATAATTTAAGTATATTGATTTGCTTGTTTTTTTTTTTTTGGTCAGTTCGAGCAGTTTGTAAGCGGGATTTATTCCACGGAGGAAGAAGCAGAAATCCAGGCTCTTCTGCATGACAACTACAGACACATTCACCCAACCTACAGTCGCCCCGTGTACGCCTCAAAAGATGCCAAGCTGCTCACCAATGGAGTTTCCTCTCTTGCCTGTTTTAATTCTGTGTCTGTAATTGTATATCTGTTATTAAAGATTTAGCATTTTGCATATAGACCGTAATCAGTGTAGCGCCATATTTAATTTCTGACACAGATGAAAATGTTTTCAGTGGACTGTACAGTTGGATGGAATTTACATCTTACATGAGAAATAAGCAAAAAACTCTTAGTACCAGAAACACTCAATATGATTCTGGTATTACAAAAGGCTTTTCCCTAGTCCTACACGAAAGAATCTTAAAGGGATTTCAACTGATACCTAGAAGAAAGACTGAATTTCAGCTCACTGTATAGATTTCACGCTACAAGTGGAGCTAATAATACAACAGATTACATTTTATTGTCACTGTACATATATACAATGTATATTTATATAGACCATTTTGAGGGACGTAAACAAAAACAATGGTCCTGACATATTTCCTGTTCTACATTTATAATTTCTACAGCTTTCCGAGAATCCAAAAAGAGCCACATATTGATAAATAATGTTAAGAAATTTGTTTTAACATTAGGTTATGATTGAATTGCCTCTTATTACAGTTATGAAATAGTTTGATAACATGCTGGAAATGTTTATTGGCCAATGATATCGCCACATTGAAATGGTTAATGCATGTGTGATGAGATTAAGAGCATCTCAATACTCAGTGCAAACATGTAAATATATCCTTACAATACAAATCACACTAAACAACAAGTTACAGTAAAAATAACTGTAGATGATAAATAGTAGTGCAGAATAGGGGATGAGAGGGGGGTAGGGTGTAATACTGTACATGCACCTCTGATAGTGTTATAATCATTCTGTGAAAAATACAAACTTACCTCAGGAGACAAACTAGTCGATGTAAAGTTGAAGTCAGAATTATTCGCCCTCCTGTATATTCATTTCTTCAATTTCTGTTTAATGGAATGAAGGTTTTTTTTTTCAACATTAGTTTTAATTAGGAATTCACCATAATGAATTGTTTTTGGCTGATATCGATAACTCAAGATTTGTAGGCCGATAACCGATATATCTGCCGATAAATATTTAAAAATGTTATATTTTTATAGAGTAAACAACTGATTTTATTTTAAAACTTCATGAAAGTGTGAACTGTTCTCATGATAGTCTACTCAAAGCAATAATTTCAAATTTGAAAGGTGATTATATAGATATATTCACGATTTCACATAAATCAGCATGCCAAAAATAAATGATTTCCTTTTCTTCGCATAGCAAATTAGCATGCAATTTGACTGTTGCATAAAAATAATAGGTTAAATAACAAAATGAGATTTAATTAACAAACAAGTAAAATAAATAGTTTAAATAAAAATTATATTAATAATAATAATTTATTCTTATATAGCGCCTTTCAAATACAATGAAAATTAAAGAATAAAGAGCTGAAACCAGCTCAAATTATCTTGAATAAAAGGTATTACCGTGATGTACATACAGTACAAATATGTAATGTCTGAAAATGCGTTTTGAGAGGACAGTTCAGAGCCACCATACAAGTGAAAAGATAACACAGATAATATTAATTTAGAAAACGCAGCATTGAATTGTTTTCCAGTGCTTATGGAACCAAAATCTAGCCTGACTACAATTTGGCTATTTTTGGGAAATTCTAATGTAATGGACACCTTTCCATCAATCCAACAGCAAGCCCTGATGGTTGGCATGATTACAGCTAAAAAATGATCTTACTTAATTGGAAATCTCCAAAGGCTCCCTGTTATAAAAGATGGTTGAATGAGCTGCTTTATGTCATTTAAATGGAGCTATTACGTCTTAAAACTTCACAGAAAAGAGCTGAAACCACATGAGGACCTATCTTAAGACTCTTGGTATTTTAGCATTTTAAGTTTGTAAATTTTCATCTCTAACCTATATATTCTTGACATAGACTTTGTAAAAACGTAAATATTGTCTTTTTTTTTAAATATATGTTTATGCTTCATATGTCATGGGGGGTGTAATGTTAATTATTCTGTACACTGGACAAGACTGAACAAGTTCTACACACGCATGCGCGAGGCAGGCAGTTCTGTACAATTACGTAATATATTGGCTTGAAGATAACAGCCTAATTTTGACATCAGACTGATAACGATAATCCTAAAAATAGCATATATCGGCAGAAAACTATATGGCCTCCGATATATCGTGCATCCCTTGTTAAGGTCTTATTTTTAACAACCGATTTCTTTTCACCATAATATTTGACTAGATATTGTTCAAGACACTAGTATTCAGCTTTAAGTGGCATTTAAATGTTTGACTAGGTTAATTAAGGTAAAGTTACGGTAATTAGACAAGTCATTGTATAACAGTGGTTTGTTCTGTAGAATATCCAAACAAATATTGCTTAAGGGGGCTAATAATATTGACCTTAAAATGCTTTTTAAAATAATTAAAGCTGCTTTTATTCTAGCCGGAAAAAAAACAAATAAGAGTTTCTCTAGAAGAAAACATATTATCGCAAATACTGTGAAAATATCTTCACTCTGTTGAACATCATTTGGGAAATATTTGTAAAAGAAAATTCACAGGAGGGCGAATCATTCTGACTTCCACTGTATATACAGTAGCAGAGCTAGCAGTAGTTTGACTCAAGTCCAAAGTGTCGTTTTTACAAATGATAAAGTCTTGTCAAATAAAATGACATTGTTTTCAGTGTGTGTTTGTCTATTCTGACTGGTTCACTCACACAAGCAGGTTGTTGTAGTGGTCAAACCCTCCACGTCCTGTTACTGACACTGGGAGGCTGCTCAATCGCACAAAGAGCCCTTGTTTTGGTCTCTTTCGAGGTTTCTAGGTTTGCTAATCCAGTCGGTGAGGTCATTCCCTGGTGCTCTCTGACAGAACAAAGCAGTCACTATTTCAGCCTCAGATTCTGAAGTGGAGCTCATTAAAGATTACCTGCCAATAAATTATGGTGCTTTAGTGAAGCTGGCAACACTTTACAATCACTTTTAAGCTTAACTATGTTGTAAACAATATCTGTTAATTAACAATTATTATTTCACACAATTTCACAAGTGTTTTTTTTTTTTTTTTTACGGTTGTATATTGCATTATAGGATGTTGATCTCTGCTCTGTCGACTTGTAACATTGAAAATTGAGCTCTACAGTTTAACAAAGTGGCTTTTATTTACATTTTAGTAGTCTGAAATAATATAATGTATAAGAAATAGAGAAATAAGTCTATAAAATAACACAAAATGTACTGGTGGTTTATTATAAGGTTTTTGTAGTGTAATATACAACACCAAACCAGACAATACATCGCTTTAATCTAATAAAAATGTTCATAAAAGTCACTTAAGGTTAGAAGTTGTCAGAAGAAAGATCAAGATCCCACAATTCAACAGCATAAATAAACAAACAAAAAGAATTCACAAAATATGGAAATTTGCTAACTTATGGATATTTTTGACAGCGTATAACATTCAACTCCAATTTTTCTGTTAAAATGGTAGCTAGACAAATACATTTTATCATTATTAATTTTAGGTATTATGCTTTAAACTATATATATACACACAATATCACAACTAATAATACAAATAAATTAAAAAGTTATTCAATTATAAACAAGCAATGGTCAAGAAATACAACACAAAAGTTATTAGTACAGAATATTAGTACTATTTAAAAAAAAATAGTACTATGATGAATAATATAGAAGTAATTTTCAACTCTTTATTAAACACTGAAACAAGACTTATCGTTAAAATTCACACATGAATATGAAAATGAAACAACAAAAATAGACTGAGCAAAACTTAATTTTAAACTGTTTAAAAAAAGCGGAGGATGAGTAAATGACAACATGTTCAATTTTGGGTGAACTATCCCTTTTTAATTAGGCGTATTCCTATTCACACACACACACACACACACACACACACACACACACACCTAGTGTTACACTTACAGTGCATAATTGAGTAAGCCAATTTAGATAATGAATATTTCTCTCCATTTCGCAGTGAATATAGGCAATGTATTTAGGAGCATTGAAACAAAACAGGTTTGATAAACAGATATATTTATTCAAATTATATTTTAGTAACCAAACATCTTTAGAAATTGAAAGATGTTCATTCATTCATTTTCTTGTCAGCTTAGTCCCTTTATTAATCCGGGGTCGCCACAGCAGAAAGAACCGCCAACTTATCCAGCAAGCTTTTTTGCAGTGGATGCCCTTCCAGCCGCAACCCATCCCTGGGAAACATCTACACACACATTCACACACTATAGAAAATTTAGCCTACCCAATTCACCTGTACCGCATGTCTTTGGACTGTGGGGGAAACCGGAGCATCCGGAGGAAACCCACGCGAAGGCAAGGAGAACATGCAAACTCCACACAGAAACACCAACTGAGCCAAAGTTTGAACCAGCGACCTTCTCGCTGTGAGGCAACAGCACCACCTACTGCGCCACTGCTTTGCCAAATTGGAAGACAATACAACTAAGTTCAAGCAAAATATTGCAAAAAACTAAAACCTACAAAATTTCAATAAAAATTTCCCACATTTTTTTGCTTCTCTTGATTAAATTTGTATTTAATATTTTCTATAACATATTAAACTAGCTGTACTAGTTTTTGGACTGTTATCGTAAGTTATTTTCTTAGATAAGCTCTAGTTTTGGCTTCAGTACTGACTAATCTAATGCATATGCACTAATATAATACTGTAGAGCTTCCTATTAAAAATATGAATTTAAAAGATCAATTTGTGAGGGTGTACTTGTATACACTGAGCACTGTAGTGTTTATCCAAATCAAAAAGAAAAGTTTTTATTTAATATACTAAATTTAATAAACTAAATTTACACTCATAAATGTAAATTTACTAATAAGAAACCTCATTTTTAAGTATCGGTGACTGAAATTCGAGGGTTTTTTTTTATTTATTTATTTATTTTTTACCAATGTCAGAGACTCTCTAAACAAGAAAGCCTTACACACTTTACGAATTTGTGAACTCTATAATGTAGTAAGGTGTACCTAATAAAGTGGCCCATGAGTGTACATGTACATATATATATATATAGATATTATTTTTCAGGGCAAAGGCATGAAATTCTAATATTACAAAACCCACAAACATATTGAATCTATGCCACGAAGGATTGAGGCAGTTCTGAAGGTAAAAGGGGGTCCAACCCAAGACTATTTAGGTATTAGATATGTATATCTTGTATATTTGTATTTTATTTATTCCTACCCCCTTGCATGTATTTTTATTGTAATGTGTTGTGCTGCTCTTGAAAATAAAAACTACATTAACATTCTTTCATACTGACGACTAGACTATTTTTACTGTAATAAATACAAAGTTAATTCTCGTAATTTAATCACTTTTTAATTTGATTTGGTTTTATATCGAATATGTAAGGTTTATGCAGTTAACAAATTGCCACACATGCTTAACCCCTTGCGTTTTCTACCGTATAATTAAGGTTTAAGTAGGTAAAAACGCCACACAGTCTCAATTTGATGCCATTAGGGCTTTATTAATCAATTTTAGGACTTTGTTTGAGGTGTGGATTGCACACTTACAAGGTTTATCGTCGTGTTTCGGTCGACGTTTGACTGGAGATCAGTTGTCTGCTCGTCACGACTTTCGACTGACAAACGAGCGGTCAATTAGCGCGTGCTGCGTATTTATTCACCTGGACGATACCAAGTCATAACAACCACGCGGGGGAGGGGAGATGGAAAGAAGCTCATTTTAGGCACGTTTTATTTATCTGGATAAATAACGTTGGTTGCTTTTAAAACATAATCAGTTAGAATGATTAATAATATTTACTTTAAATGTTTTAACTCTAAATAATTAGTTTAAATAAAATGCTAATTTGTGCGTATGTCCGATGGCGTCGTATATTTAGTATGATAGTATCAACTGCCTCAGCTTCTTTTTACTATGCTAAATACGTTTTTCTATAAACATTTTTTACTAGAATGATTTATTTAAAAAGATTAATTGTTAAAAATTAACATGATCTGTGCCTATAGCTTTTATTTACATTAATATCTATTTCTAAATGCTTTTAAACACTTTGTAAACTTCAAAGATTAGGTGTTGAAAGAAACTAAGGGGTAACGTTAAATCTCCTAGCAAAAAAGCATTCAAACATCAGCAAATATAAATCAATGCAGCTTTAAGTAAATTTGAACTCAAGAGCTTACCTGAGTATTGTTGTTGCTGACCATGTCCATCCCTTTATGACCACAGTGTAACATCTTCTGATGTCTACTTCCAGCAGGATAACACACCATGTGATGAAGCGTGAATCATCTCAGACTGGTTTCTTGAACATGACAATGAGTTCACTGTACTCAAATGGCCTCCACAGTCACCATATCTTAATCCAATAAAGCACCTTTAGAATGTGGTGGAACCGGAGATTGGCATCATGGATGTGCAGCCGACAAATCTGCAGCAATTGCCTAGTGCTATCATGTCAATGTGGAGTAAAATCTCTGAGCATTATTTCCAGTACCTTGATGAATCTATGACATGAAGGATTAAGCAGTTCTAAAGGAAAAAAGGGTCCAACCTGGTACTAGTAATGTGTACCTAATAAAGTGGCCAGTGAGTGTATATGTCATTTTCTTTCCAAACTCTGCACATTCCACACTCCAAATCAGTAGGTGGCGGAAAAGTGCCTTATCATTGGTCTAACAAACCTTTATAAAACACCAGAGGAAGAAGAAGAAAAATACAATCACATTAATCCATCATTATAGTCTCTCCTCCTACTGCTGCAAACTCCATATACAGGAACGGACTCCAAATACTGAAAACATGATGATTTAAAGATCAGCTCTGGAACGACGCATTTGAAAAAAAAATCCTTTATTTTTTCCATGATTTTTTTTCCATACATTTGTGGTATAATAAATAGACCGGGGATAAAGGCCAATTTCACCTAATGCCCCTTGCCATTTCTGAAAGATAATGCTTTCCCCCCCTCTGACACTGCAAACAGATTTTCATAGAATTTACAACCCAAAAAATAAAAAATAAAGCTTGACACAAGCTGAAAATACTGCCACCAGCTCTCTGTACTCGCCATCCCGTAGACCTTTCCGAGCTGTGACGCTGTAGCAAATCCTCAGGAACAAAAATATATATATTTATATTTATATATTCACAGTTAAAGTATTTACACATAAGAATCCAAAGGAAAATGGGCCAAAAAAAGACGTTTCTACAAGAAACAATCTTTCAAAAAGGAAGTACAAATCTGTTTATGTACAAGATGCATCAATTTCTTTAAATTAGCTATTCAACCCCTTTTTTTTCGTACAACGATCCCTGAAAAATTGTCATTTTAAATACTCCGTCTGTCGCTCGTAAAAGCAGAACGATGCATCGTCATCATCATCACTCCCCGTCAAGATAAAAAAAAGCCTCATTCCTTTATACAAACCATCATCATAACCTGTACAATATAAACATATTTAAAAAGAAAAAGGAGAACATAAATCGGGGGAGACCTTACCCTGTGAGT